CCCGCGGAGACTTGCACGAGATCGCAGTACTCCTCGCCGAGGGTCCGGTTGCCGGGCAGCGTCGTCAGGCCGTAGTAGACGAGGGCGGCGACGGTGCGCAGCTCGGGCGCGCGGGCGTGGGTCGCGCGCGCACCGAGGACGCGCCGGTGCAGCTCGGTGAGCGTGTTGGCGAGGTGCCCTGTGAAGTAGGCATCCTTTTGGTGGGCGCGCACAATGTCGGGCGCGGCGGCGAAGGGGTACGGCGAGGCGGTGGTGGTGGAGGAGGAGGGGAGCGGTGGTGGTGCGGCGGCGGCGGCGGCGGTCGCCATGGCCGGGGCTCGGTTCGGGGGTAGAGTTTAGATGGAATCGAGATGTGGCGCGGGGATGAAGTTGAGCTTGTTGTGGGTGTCGGAAGGGCGGTACGATGGTGAGGGGTGGAAAATGGTGAGAGGGTTGGCCAGATTTGTTCGGCAACGTGAACCTCGGGATCTTCTAGGCGGCTGGGCTTGGGGGATCGGATTGGGCTTGGCTTAGCTCAGTTGGGCGACCCCGGATTGTCAAGACTGGCAACTCGGATTATTACATGCTACTGTAGCTATTCGGCGGCTCCAAAAAACATGAATGGAAGGTGCAATCTGAAAACATTTCAGATATCACATGTTGGTCTGGACTACCAAAGCTAAAGTGCTCGTTTTTTTGGGCAACAGACGCTGCACCCATGGGAATTATTACCTGTATCATGAAATGGCACAAGTGGCTGGTGTGAGTGGCTAGCTTTCACCCAATGGACGTGGCCTGGGCTGTTGGCAGTATTTACTGATATGAAAGCAATATAGCGGGAGAAAAATAGAGACGTAAAAACGTTTGCGTTAAGATTAAGCCAGGATTGTTCACTAGAGCTTTTCAACTGGAACCGACCATTTGTGATGCGTTACGGATAGATGCATCAAAGATTGGGTGTAAGTTTCTTGGTAAGAGTCACGACACCTTGGAAAATCAGCTCCTATTTGTCCTCTCTTCCTTTTCCTTTTTACTTCTTCTTTCTTGTCTAACCATTTCCATTCTTCTGCTATTTTTCCATCGTCACAACCCGTTCTCACTAAGTACCAGCCCTCGTTTCGCAATCGCGCCGTCGCGCCGTTGCATGTAGCGCCAACGGGGCCGGCGGGGCCGATCTCTTTTTCCGCGCCCCCTGTGGCCATCTGGCGTTCCCTCGAACGTCAACCTCTGAACTGAAAATCTCTTCCACGGCGCGCGTCCCTTTTCTTTCCAGTCTTTCCCTTTCCGTGGCCATTGCCCATTTTATATCCTCATCTCCCCATCACTCATTCACTGCAGCCACTCGTGGCCATTGCCACCAACCTCGTCCGCCGGCGCGCACGCCAATGTCGGCCGCGTTTCAATAACCATGGACGGTGATCCAAGGGTCGAGCCGCAGCTCGACTCCTTTAGCTTGACGTTTCCGCTGCCGTATCGCGTCGGCTTCATCGTGACACTCGGTACGTCCTCCCCCCGCTTCCCTTGGTTCTCTGCTCGGCCCTGCTAACGTCTTACTTGCCAGCCGTCTGGGGCTGGGGCCTCAACCTCCATGGTCTGCAGCTGTCGCGCATCGATGTCCCCTCGCTGATCCGCTACCCCGGACGCACCTCGCCGGCCGCCATCTCGCACCACCTCTCGACGTACCGGTTCGCGACGGTGCTCTCGACGCTGCTCGGCGCCTCCATCGTCGTCTTCTGGCTGCTCACGTGGCGCGTGCCGCAGCGCGTCGTCGACTACGACTGGCTCCCCATGACCTACCTCGTCGCGCTGGTCGCGCTGTTTGTCGTGCCGCTCCGGAACCTGCCGGGCCACGGCCGGCGGCGGTTCCTCGCCGTGCTGCGCCGCGTCAGCCTCGGCGGCATCGCCGAGGCCAAGGACGGCAAGTTTGCCGACATCCTGCTGGCCGACGTCCTGACCTCGTACGCCAAGGTGTGCGGCGACGTCTTCGTCACCGTGTGCATGTTCTTCGCGCCGGGCGGCTCGTCCACCGACCGCCCCAACCGAAACTGCGGCGGCGTCGTCGTCGTGCCGCTGCTCATGGCCGTGCCGAGCATGATTCGCCTGCGGCAGTGCGTCACCGAGTACATGCGCGTGCGCAACGCGTCGTACCACGAGTCGGCCGCCGGCTGGGGCGGCCAGCATCTGGCCAACGCGCTCAAGTACTCCACCGCCTTCCCCGTGCTCATCACGAGCTCGATGCAGCGCAGCGCCGAGGCGTCGGGCACGCCCACACCCGGCCTGTACCGAGCGTGGGTGCTGGCCGTGACCATCAACTCGCTCTACTCATTTTACTGGGACGTCACAAAGGATTGGGATCTGACGCTGTTTGAGCCCGCAAAGCGCCACGAGGCGCTACGACGGGCGCCCGCGCCATCGGCGGCCGTGCCCTGGGGCCTGCGCGAGAGGCTCGTATTCCGTCTGCCCAACTTATACTACGCCGTCATTGTGCTCGACCTGCTGCTCCGGTTCACGTGGTCCCTGAAGCTGAGCCCGCATCTGGACCGTCTCAGCAGCTGGGAGAGCGGCATCTTTGTCATTGAGTTCCTCGAGGTCTTTCGCCGTTGGGTCTGGATCTTCTTCCGCACCGAGACGGAGTGGATTCGCACCACGAGCTCGCCCGTCGTCGGCCTGGATGATGTGCTGCTAGGCGACTATCGAGAGCCTGGAGACGACGACGACGACGACGATGATGAAGACTTTTGATCGACGCGCACGATCCTGGGCATGGGACGCCATTTAAGGGGGGGCGGTGAGCATGAGCAGTGCACCGTTCCAATCACTTACTAGGTAAAAAAAGACGCCCTAAACATAGCATCGAAAAATGGCGTTGGCGTGAGGCTTGACAAGTGGGGGAACGAAACGCTTTGTTTTCTTTTGGCGTCTACCAGTACACCAACAGATGATTTTGTTTGCGTGTACAGAAATACTTTTTAATGCTAATAATATAACTCTGCTAGAGGAACGTTACTCGGCCATGCAATGATTGCTAGGAAGGTTTGCGAATCGACCCCGCCTTTGATACGCGTGAAATTCATGAACAAGGTGTCGCTCTCCCTTGTCGGGCACTGTCGTTGCCGAGTCGAGCCCCCCCCCCCTTTGCGCGCGCCGGATCTCTTTGTTGCGCATCATACGGGAGCAATTCCGCCAGCAACGAGCCCCCAACTGCTGTGGTGGCCAGGATTGTCATGTTCCTCGTCGCTACTGCTTCTGTTCTCGTCGGTTGAGGGCATCGTGTGCGACCCCAATGGCCGGAGGGGGGGAGAAAAGGGCCTTTAGCCGAACACACACACAATCACAGCCGAGTCTTCTTCTCCAGGATGCGGACATCACGTTCAACGCAATGCATGCACCCTCTTAAGGACCCAACCCACCCTGGTCGCACATCAGGGCGCCCCAAGGCTGTAGCCTAGAGTGGATGGGGGAGGGAGGGGGCCAATCCATCGCCACTTGTTGCCGCCGACCTACCAAATGACAGCTTTTGGACAAGGCCAAAAAAAAAAAAAAAAAAGGTATGGTCGCATCCTGCCCCACGGCGGTGCGATCCTGCTTCCCGAACTCCCGCGGATGCGCGGGCGCGAGAATAAAACATTGTCGCACGGGGTTGAAGATGCCGATGTCACACCACGTACCAACAAGAAAAAAAATACGCTCGTTATCCTCCCACCAAACGAAAGCACAAGAGAGAGAGAGAGATGGAGGCGGTAGAAGAAGAAAAAAGGGGATCATCACTCTCTTCTTCCCACGCTCGTTTGGAACAGGTTCGTGTAAAAGTGCCAACGCGGCACTAGGGACGAACTGACCCTCCCCCCCTCCCAAAAGTCGATTGCGTTTATTAGCGCTTCGGTAATAACCTTTCAGGCTCTAAAAGCGGGTGGTGGCCCTTGCAAAAAAAATTAAGATAGGATGGTCGACGACGATGCCAAGAATACGTCGCTTGCGAGAAATGGGCAGAGAGAGAGAGAGAGAGCCTTGCCGGGGGTATGCGGCCCTATTCTCATGCATAATGCCAAACAATAGTTAGTTGCAATCTCCTCCCCCCCCCCGGTTGCCCGCTTTGTGGGAGGCTGCAAGAAGCGTCTATTCAGGATGTGCGTTGTCGAAGGGCGCAAGTCACACACACTCGCTCACTATCAACACACACACACACACAACCGCAGACACGCATACGCACATCGTCCAAGACATCCCGGCTCATCAACGCCTCGTCTACGAATAGGCCCCTCCCCCGCCACCCGAAATCTGGCCGTCTGCGGCGCCTCGTCTTGCCTACCGTTACTGGGCTCAAATACATGGACCCCAAAAAAAGGACTGCTGCCTGCTGCCTGAAAAAGTAAACAAGAACTAGAGAGACAAAGAAGTTGGCCGCCAAGACGTTGGTCACTCTTTACAGAGTATGATGCGTGCTAGCCCTCCCTCGCTGGTTCTTCCGCCATACTGCTTCTGTTGGCAGTGTCAACTTTGTTTTGCCTATTTTTCTTTTTTTTCTTTTTTCCCCCTAACTTTCTCCCTGTGGTGATAGGGTGCACAGGTGTGCCAAAATACCACTGGCCTCTTGTTCCGCTGTGATGAAGAGAGCCGCTGTGGCCCTTGTTGTCGTCCCGCCTTTGTGAGGCGCCGCACTCCGCCCACGTCTCACACCAACTCGCCTTTTCACTGAACGCTGCAGCAACACGAAAAGCCACGGGCCCTTATTTCATTACCAGCAGCCTCCTTCCTGCTTTCCGTCTCCCTACTTCTCTTCATATGTGTTTTTTTTCTTTCACAACTTGCTCGCAACTCTAGGATTGCCGCGGCTCCCCAACCTACACCATCTCGCCGCCTCTAGTTAACCAAGGCCGACCAACATGGCTGTCCGGCCACCCAATAATAAGCCTGCCATTCCCCTGTCCGAAGACAGAGAGCGCCATGTTGAACCTCACCCCGGTCGCCGTCTCAGTATGTATGAGCCACAGTACCGGCAAAAGCCACTGCCCCGGGTCCCGGTAGCCGTCAAGGGCTCCTCGTCGGTCGTCCCGCGCCGGGCACCATCCGTACAGAGTCCTTCGCACCCGCGCAGCAGTCAATCATCCTCACAGCCCCAGTCGCCCCGGCGGACGTCGTCTACAACACGCACCTGCACAAGGCCGTCCCTGGACCAACAAGCACCGAGACCACCCATGAGGCTCCCGATGCCGGAGCTGGCGCCATCACAGCCCATGAGAAAATCCGACAGACAGTCGAGCTTTTCTCGTGGTGCATCGGGCCCTAGATCGTCCCAAAAAGTCAACAGCTTGATAGGGCATGCCTTGGATCTCCCCCCGGCCGAGACGTATGATCCGCATAGCAGAACCAGCTCCAGCTCTTATGCGGGTTTCTCTGACGGCGACTCAGCCACGGCGTCCGATGATGAAGACTACTGCCCCGAGGAGCAGGGTACCTCCAGCACGGAGGAGGTGCTAATATGCGTGGAGGATGACCTCTTCCACAACGACGAGGCTTGGTGGGCGGAGCACCGAGCGCCAGCCGCTGCAATCCTGCCACAAGCGCTCGCAACCTCACGGCATGGCAAGACGCCCAGTTTCGGCGACACATCTCTTTCCCACTGCAATCGCAGTCAGACCCTCGAGCGGAGCGGGAACTGGAATCCGGGTGGCCAGCTGCCGCGCCGGCTGACGCCAGGCCATGGGCAGTTTACCGATAAGCGCGCCGCCAGCGACTACCATCGCGTCGCGGCGGAACTGGCCACCCCGTGTCAGTTTGTAAATCCGTTGAAGCCGGCGTCTCTCTATGCCAGTCACCAGACGTTGCCGGAGCAGGGCAGCAAAAAGACACGAAGCAGGGGCAAGTTTCGTCGAGCTCGCACTGCGGCCTTTGGCCTGTTGTGGGCGCGAACAAAGGACCCCAGCCCACAGCCGCCGCCGCCACGGCCGCCGCCACGACCACCTGCGTTGCCGGAGCTCCCTCCTTCCCTCTCCCCCTTTAGATCTTTCGCCGAGCCGGTACGACCGGTGCGTCTGCCTTCATGCTCGGAAAGATCTCTACCCTTTGAAGAATATACGCCCAAGGAGCACCCCACTACCTTCTGTGACGAGACAACACTGAAGATGCGCTGCCCGCCGAGGGTGCCCGCCGTCGGTGTGCGTCCAGCGCCGACGGCGGCGGCGCCGCAGCCTGCCGTGCCGGAGCTGCCTTCTCCCTCGTCCACCTTTACGCTCGCCGAGCCAGTACGACCTGCGTCTTCGACTACGTGTGCAGAAGAAGAAGAGACGCCCAGGAAGCACTCTACCGCCTCCTTTGACGAGACGGCCCTGAGGAAGCCTCCCTGCCCGCCAGCGCTTCCCGCCGCCGGCGCGCGTCAGCCAGCGCCCTCGCCGTCCCCGCACCGCCAGTATAGTCTGTTTCCACGGTCGACCATGCCTCCGCCATTGATGCACCTCCAGCCTCTGTTGACGACGCTGTCGCCGCTGCAAGCGATCCAATCCGAAGCTCAGCTAATGTCCATGCCGCCGGCGCAGGTGATTCAGTTCCAGTCCCGGCAGACAATATCCCCGCAGCACGCGAGCGTCTTTGAACACGACTCGGACAATGAAGAGGACGACAAGGACAAGCCGTCATCGTCCTCGTCGCCATCATCGTCGTCGTCTGGCGGGGGCGTCATGGGCCTGCTGGCCAACGCGCGCGACCGGAAGTGGCCCCCGCCGACGGGACGCCGCCAGTCCCGTGTGCGCCGCGAGTCGATCAGGGTGCTGCACATACCGGAGCCGGACAAGGGGCAGGCGTCGGCCGAGGTGCCGAAAAATACTAATGAACCAAAGAGGCCGAGACCGCGCGATATGAGCAGGCTGGAACCGTACTCTGGTGCGCCGGGCGTCCTGTTGTAGGGAAGCGTTGAATTGGGAAATGACGGATAGTAATGACGGATAGGACTCTGTACATAGATGATGATATCACGCGCAGTGGGCATACTGAGCAGGGATGGGAGGGGCGTACCACCATGACATTAGCGACATTCTTTCTTTGCAAATTTCACAAGTTCATCAATTGACGTGACTTATGGTGCCGATGCTGGTGAAGTAACAGATAGGTAAAAGAATCGAGTACAAGAATCGAGGGGGCCTGTTGATAGGCGTCCGGCCGCGTCCGGTGGTGTAGCGGCCAACGCCGCTGGCGCGCCGAGGCAGAGAATTTTTGGAGACGTTGCGAGCGAGCGCCACGATCCTGGACATGCTGGGACAAGTCCCCGGTTTCAGAGGAGGCAAGGTTGTCATGATGTAGCTAAAGAGAGACTGGTCAAATGCAAGGCGGGGAGTGTCCTTGCTGACTGCCAGGAAGTTGTGCCTGGCAGCAGCGCCACAGTGGCTTTCTGCCCCCAAGCGGCGCCGAGGTACTTGGCCGTTCCGCTGCATTCCATAGAGAGGACCAAGTACCTCCCCTTGCGCCTCACCAGTGCTCGTCCCGATGGTCGGAGGTTCACGATTCACCCTCTCCCTTTTACATCATCACCTGCCAGGCACCTCGACTCTTTGGCGGCACAGCCCAACCCACTCCCTCTCGGTCCACTGTCCCAATTGTCATTTCGTCTTCTTTCCAATTCACCAATAAAAGCCGTTTGCCTTCCCTCCCCCGCATCAACCCACATGGTCCGCCCCTCCAAACGTCATTCTTCGGGCATCTACCAGGAACATACACATCAATACGCTGCCGTGCACTTGTTTCCGCCCTCTTGATCCGCCGGCAGATACTGTTCAACGCGCACAAATACCAGAAGCCCGTGGCGAGTCGTGGAGAGCATCCGTGATGCTAGCGCCGACCCAGAACGGAGACTATACCGCCGCCGCTCCGCCTGTGCAAGACTCGACGACGGCCCAAGTACCAAGTTGGCTGACGGCTGCCTCGGCTGTCGCTCATACCGTCCGCATCACACACATCCCCGACCACATCATCGCAGATAGAGCACCACCACCGCGTGCACCAGACACAGGTGGCCAGCTCGACCATCATCGACCGCTTGCAGACTTTGACGGTGCTTGTGAACTCGCCTCGGCGTACTATGATGTCGCTGCCATGGCTCCTTTAAACCCGTTTTCCAAGGTATGTTGGACGAATGACCCCTACATAGTCCATCAGCACATGCAGTCATTTTACCAATCGCGCGTTGCATACACGACATGTTTTGTCCTCGTACCCCCATCTTTCCCCCTCCACTACAGATCCAGACCAACTGCATTGCATTGCATGCGTCCTGTGGCGTGAGCATCTCCAACTTCCACTTGCGTAGTTGGGGCAAGCAGTACACCAAATCCAGCCTGCATCGTCCCGTCTTGTTCGTCAAGCAACAAGGTTGTCAAGATGAGGCCGCTTACATGTGCCCATGCTTCTCATCATGGTCCTTATCTCTCCGCACATGTACTGCCCCATTCCCCAATAAGCTCTCCCCGGATTTCGGGGAAACCCCCTTGGGTGCTTGACATCTTCCATTCTCATACCTCTGTGCTCTCCATCTTTTTTGTATACACCTTCGAGTGTTCTTTTCCTCTCATACCATGTTCAATCCTGTACTAAACAATCTTTGCGTGCGGCAGGCTGCCATTAATCGTCTGCGCGCTTATAAGCCGCCACCATTCCCGTTATGGGACCGTCTTCCTGTCCGGATGCGCGCTGCTGTCTTGATTCTGCTCTACGCTGATCGTTTCGGAGATTTGCGTGTTGTCATTACCATGCGAGCGGCCGCCCTGCGCAATTTCTCGGGCCATGCCGCCCTTCCTGGCGGCAAAGCCGATACCACGACTGAAACACCTTGTAAGTCGTCTTGGCACACGCTCTCCTTCTTCGCCGCCGACAACATCATGACTCACACAATCCCTCCCACAGACCAAATAGCGAGGCGAGAAGCCTGGGAGGAAATCGGGCTCCCTATGGAAGACCGTAAAATCCCCAAGCCTTTCCGCGTAGAGAAGCTCTGCTACCTGCCCCCCTTCCTGGCCCGCACCCACGTTGTCGTCACCCCATGCGTGGCATACCTGCACGCCGACGCGCCCGCCCCGGGCCAGTCCTCTCCCGTCGTGGAACACACGTTGGTACCCAAGCTTGACGCCAGTGAGGTGGCGGCCGTCTTCACCGCGCCGTTTTACAACTTCCTCAAGTCGCGCGACCTGCCGCCCCAGCCCGGCCACGTGCTGCCGCCTGGTCACTGGTACGACGGTGCTTGGATCAACTGGAAGGATGTCGCCTGGCGCGTGCACAACTTCTACGTGCCCGTCAACAACCAGCAGGTATCACGGCCGGCAGAGGGCAGCACGGCAGTGGAGGAGACGAAGCAGGACGTTGACTTTGAGGGCCGCTTCAAGGTTTGGGGCATGACGGGCCGAGTCCTGGTCGACGCTGCGCGGATCGCCTATGGCGAGCCGCCCGAGGTAGAGCATAACCCAGGACTGGGTGATACCGATATTATCAAGATTGCAGAGCAGGACGGCGTATTTCAAGAAGCGGCGGGCAAGGGGCCTTCGAGGATATAGACGGGGACTAGACATACTATTGTATAGAGGTTGGCGCATATGAGCAAATGTATATTTGAAAAGTTAAACGCGCAACACGAAGAGGCATAGAGGGTATGCCAGGTACTATTGCTTGTCGAGACGGTAATTAAAGTATGTGGTAGGGAAGTGTAGCGTGCAGTCAAATATATGGCCAGTCCTGTAACGTCTTCCGTCGTGGCATGCAGTCAAGTATATGACCAGTTCTGTGACGCGTTCTGTTAATGGCATGCAGTCTCCTTGGTGGCCGACGTGTGATTTCCAAAGACGTAATAGCCTAGAAAAGCGCCGACAGACACTGCCACCATAACCCAACCGTTATAAGTCATGAAAACAAGCCTGGAGCAGTCAGTGCCAAATGTCCGCGGCCTCGTGTAATCCAGGCAAAACGTACATGAGCATAAAGGCGTAAAAGTTTTGAAGGCCGTAGAGAAGAGACTTGATGAGATGGCTGCGACGGGTAAGAAGGTCGCGGTTTTGTCCTGATCGGAGAAACGGGGTTGTCTCAGTAACGGCTTCTTCATGTGCGTCTTTTTGGGTCGAGTAAAAAGTAGTCTTGCTTTAGTAAATGTACACGAATATCATAGCCAAAAGAGAGTGTGTATGTAGTCAGAGCCATGTGAGTGTCTTTTTTTCGTGTACAGTCATGAAGCAGATGCCAGGAAGACAAGGACAAGGATCAAGCGCGTGCTTTTTTTTTTTTTTCAACGATGTAGACTTGACACAGCACATGGTACTCGTCACATACGCACGCAATCTTTTAAAATTGACAATAATTCGGCACACAAACACGCAAGCGACAAATATAGTTGCGGTGGGAAGGGGGGGGGGTTCATGGCAAGGAGACAGACACGTTGACAAGTGGGAAATGGGAAATGGGAGGAGAAGCTTTGTAGAAAAAAAGGGCTAGACTCACTGGGTGCCAAGTCGACTCTCGCTTCCATCGACTGTTCGTACATGCGGCATGTGGCGCGCAGACCTTCGTAGCCCATAGCGATGAGCACGACCGCGAGAAGGGAGACGACGAGCCCCGGGGTAGAGCGAATGTGCCACTGCTTGAAGACGATGCAGAGGTTGGTGGTATCCCATGTGAACAGCATCTAATACCGTTTCCATCAGCATCAAGGTCCAGGGCACGGACCAAGGGATCACAAGTCCGGCGCGGGAGAGAAGCGAGTTGGCAACGCACGCTCATACTGCACATGTCGTCCATGCCATCACCGCCGTGGTCCATGTGGCCGGAGTGGTCCATCTGCGAGTGGTCCATGGCAAAAATCGGGGTGTGCTTGAATCGTGATTAGATGGTTTTTGCGGGGGAGGGGCCGGTAGTTAGCGTTCTTTTTTTTTTTTCAGTTTGAAAGGCAAAGAAATGGAGAAGAGAAGGAAGAAAACGGTAGGCAGTAGTGGTGATGAGTTGAGCAAGGAAGAAAAGGGCGGCTAAAGCTCGAGAAACGTGCTCAAACGCTCGTGTGAGGGAAGTGTGGCTGGTGGAGTCACGGAAACTTGCTCAAAGCTGGCAGCTGACACGACAGTAGCGATGTCGTATCGAGAAGAAAATGGTAAAAATAAATTGAAACCCAGACATTTAAAAGGGGACACGCCAAGCACTATTTATACTATCGGTTATCCAAAGCTTTTGCGTCTTTTTCGCGGCCAGGAGCGATAACCTTTACTCTGTCCTCTACTCAGACTCGAGAACTGAGACACGGGCAGGGATTCCCCCGTGCGTGCTTTGTGCTGTGGCGTCATTAGTGTGGCGCGGCGTACGTACCTAACTAGAAGCCGTGGGCCGCCGCTTGTTCATGATACATATCCAACAAGCTGGCATCTTCCCCGACGACAAAACGCGCGATACCTTCTTCAGAGACCAACCGGAACGGAAGGGGGGGGATCAAGGTGGCTTTCTTTCCCGCTCATCACATCTGGTAACGTGACCCGGCATCAGGCTGCATGTTTGGCCGCCACAGAAACTTCCAAAAGCGAGCCCATCTAATACCGATGCCCAATCGAGCCCTGCATGAACAGGCTTTCCCGGAATTAAAGATAAATAACCCCCCACCCCTAATGACTAATCGAACGGGCTTCTGAATATGAATATACATACGTACAATATCGTATATATTAATATGCAAAACCGCCAATACCCATTTCAATTGCATGCAGTCATCACGCGACCGGCGCACCGGCAAGCTTGGATGAAGAGGAGGGGGAGCCACTTAAAAATCGCCGCCCGTCGGCCGATTCGAGGAAACGTCGCAGAGTGCTAACTAGATCTTCCTTTCACGTAATTAATCAGCGACCCCCGCGAACCTGTCGTCGCTCCTTGTATCGTCTTTTTATTCTTCCACATCGTAGTTGACATCTCGACGCCATCAACCCATCACCTAGGCTTCCGTCGGTCGGCTCCCCGGCATCTTACTCCTCCATACTCACTCACCTCGCCCGATTTTCACGCAAGCCTCTCCCGCCGCCGTGACTCGGTCTACATAATGCTAGGCCCGCCAGTAAATCTGCCCAAATGGCAAGTCATGTTCTCAAAATTCAATGGAATTCGCACTTTGGGAAACCTCCAGCTAACTTCTGGTCCCCCAGGCTGGAGGAAAACGGGCACCTGCTGCAGCCTCCCATCAACAACTACTGCGTCTACAATGAGGGCTTCACAATCATGGTACATGCGCTGACCTCTCGAAGCAAGCCTCTACAATGAAGAAATCTAACCAAACAAACCACCGCGCCCCCCCAGATTGTCGGCGGCCCCAACGCCCGCACAGACTACCACATCAACACCACGCCCGAGTACTTTTACCAGCACAAGGGCGCCATGCTGCTCAAGGTCGTCGACGAGGGCGGCGTCTTCCGCGACATCCTCATCCGCGAGGGCGACATGTTCCTGCTGCCGCCCAACACCCCGCACAACCCCGTCCGCTTCGCCGACACGGTCGGTATGGTCGTCGAGCAGAAGCGCCCCGACGACGCCCTCGACCGCATGCGCTGGTACTGCCCCCGCTGCCCCGACGCCGTCGTCGTCTACGAGGCCGCCTTCCACGTCACCGACCTCGGCACCCAGATCAAGGCCGCCGTCGAGGCTTTTCGCGCCGACGAGGAAAAGAGGCGCTGCAAGCGCTGCGGCGAGCTGGCCGACTGGGCGCCGCCGCCGGGGTCCATTCCCGATCCTAATCTGGCGTAGTAGTCTGCGACGAATAGATGGGAAATGTCTGTTTTAATGAAAAGGGGAAAAGGGTTATGAGAGAGAGCGAGAAATGGTTCAAAAAGTGGCACTGCAAGGGCAGGCGGTTGGGAAGCAGCAGCAGCGCATGTATCAAAAAATGCTCAAATTGCAAAATTCCACTCCTCAAACAGGAATCGTCTAGTCAACCATCCCATCTTGAACATGACAGAAAAAGAACTACACAACACCAGAACACAAGCCCTCCCGACCCTTTTACGTCTCGGCAAACTCGTAGTCCCTGGTAGACTCCTCCACCACGACCTCAATCTTGCCCTCGAGGAGCTCCCGACCAGCGACGCGCACGCCCGCGCGGACCTTGTCGCCGGGGACCGCGGGGCCGACGCCGGCGGGCGTGCCCGTCAGCACCACGTCGCCCGGCTGCAGCGTCATGACCCTGGAGATGTCGCTGAGGATGCGCGGGATGCGGAAGATCATGAGGTTGGTGGACCCGCGCTGCCGGACCTGCCCGTTGACCTCGAGGAAGAGCTCGACCTCGTGCGGGTCGGCAATGGCCTCCTTGGGGATCACGCCGCTCATGGGCAGGAACGTGTCGAAGCCCTTGGCAATGTCCCAGGGGAGGCCCTTGCGCTTGGCCTCGTTTTGCGTGTTGCGCGCCGTCATGTCAATGGCGATGGCGTACGCTGTCCGGGGGGGCGGAGAGGGCAAGATTTACATTAGCGCTGGGGTTCACCACAATTGGGTAGACGTCGGCTTTGTGAAATGGAGGGACCCGTGGGGAGGAGGTCATACCCTTGATGGCTTCCAGAGCACCCGTCAGGTCGTCGGGCTTCAGGTCGCGCACAGTCTTGCCCATGACGAGCGCCAGCTCAACCTCAAAGTGCATGTCCACGCCCTTGGGACGCACGCAGGGGCCTTCGCCGGGGAGCAGCATCGACGACGGCGGCTTGAGGAAGAAAAAGGGCTGCTTGGGCTTGGCATTGGACAGTTCTGCAATGTGGTCGCTATATTGGAGGAGAAGAAAAAAAAAGGCAATGTACTTGTCAGCTCCCCTTTTCTCATGTCGCGTGGTTGGTTCGTGAGAGGGCTCACGCGTAGTTGCGGCCAATGCAGACCACCTTGCCGGCCTGCTTCAGGATCGAGGCCTGAGGGCTCATCGTAGCCATTGTCCGTCGTAGCGCAAACATGATGAAAACTGGGTTAAATACGCAGACAAAGGAGGACAAGAAGATATTCAATTGAGGCCTGGTGTGGTAGCTGTACTTGGACTTTTGGTGCTGGTTGATGCCAACGGATGAGCGCGCTTCGTTCGGGCGATGCGTCGGAGCTCGGTGGGGACTCCTCCCCACGATCCGAGGCCGAGCCGCACATGGCTCTGGCAATGGTCAGCAAAACAACCATCCTTGCTTGGTTGGGCAAATTATGAATGCCATCTTCGCCGGATTTTTTCGCACAATGCAGAGATTGAAAAGTTGTCCCTTCCAACGATGATATACCAAAACGCGGGGTAGTATATCAATTGTGGAAAGGAACTGGACATCCTTCTCGGCTATTTGCACCCCAACATGGTTGGCAAGGCTGGTTACAAAGTAGAAAAGGTGTCGCTGAGAGTTACTTCAGGTTCAATCAAGCTGCTGCAACGTCGCGTGCATTTGGCCCTGTGCACGCAACCTGGTTCAGGCCTGTATCCTCGCGACAAGATTTCAGCAACATAAGCGTGCCATGGTATAGAATGGAACCCGGACAGTCTATCGTACGCACTCAGCAAACGCCAGCTTCTTCATGCTATGCTAAATGACCAAGCTTTAGTTACGCTCCATGTATAATGCCCCAACTCCGTAATGGAAATGATAATATCCCTTCTCCCTTCTCCCTTCTCCTACACATGTATATTGCAATCTATGCCATGTAGCGGTACAATCCCGGTGCGTCTTCCTGTTCTGGCCGCTCGAGGAAATCGCGCGCAATCAAGCTTTCGATGCGGCGCTTGATGAGAGGCACTTCTGGCTTGAAATGCGCTGCTAACTGAGACAAAACCTCGCTTACAAGCTGCGTGTGACCTAGCTCCTTTCGTGATCTGTGCATACTTGTCAGTGGGAAAAAAACATAGGCAATTGAGCAACAACTTACTTCATGATTCGTACAATAGCAGCATCAATAATGTGCCCACGTATCTTGTCATTCTTTTCTTCTGTAGTAGCTCTCTCAGAGGCGTCTTCGACCTTGGAGACGGCATTGATGACTGGGGCCTTGATCCTCATCGTCTTGCTCTGGAACGATGCATTGAAGGAAAACTTGTCGGATGACTTGATAGACTTTGTGAGCGGATGTTTGAGAAGCACACGCGACTTGGGCGCCACGGCGACGGCTGTCAAGGTTCGCATTAAATCAGCCGGCGCAATTGCAGTCTTTGCTTGTATCTCCTCAAACGAAAGCTGCTCGTTGTCGGGTAGCTGGTTAAAGAGCATCAGGACAACCATAGCATACGTCGATACATTGATCTCGTAACGTCTTTCCTTCGCCAGGACGCCAGACTTTCCTGGAATCGCCGGGAATATGCATCGCACATCAGCACTGCCCGTTGTCCCAATCCAGGTGAGTTTTCTTCCGTTTCTCGATGACAGATAGAATTGTTCAAAGCTGGCTTGTAGCCTTTCGATTTCTGCAGGGTAGGTGCAAGTGACACGAGAGCCTTCTCCAATTTGTGCAGTGCGACCCATCACGTCTTGTGGCCAGTTGTTCATAGTCAAGACATTAATACCCAGCTCCGTCTTCTTGGTTCCATCTCCCGACGTGCGAACATGGTCGCGGTATGATGTTGTAAGCTCTGCCGAGGTAACCAAGTCTCGGAACATGCCCTCCAGCTTCACGGTGAACTGCTGGCCGAAATCTTGTCTCATTTTCAGTATGAGCTGATTCTCAACGTCGTGGCTTTCTGATTTGGCATGAAGTAGTCGGCGGGCGAGATGGCGCTGGTAATATGTCTGGAACAGATCTTTGTCTCTGAGATAGCGGATAAGAACGATTGCCTTGTCCAGGATCACGTCAATTTCCACTTCAGATTTACCACGAACCCCCTTCTTCATGTTCTCATCGATGAAAAGTGACACGTATTCGGAGCATCTGGGGAACAGGTTTATGAATTGGGTGAAGCTCTTCTCAATAGCAGTCTGGATGAGCAAATCAGACTCGAAGCAGTTCGTGCACATCGTGTCGAATTTATCTCGAAGGGCCAGAACATCGTCAACCCACTTGATAGCTGCTGCAGTCTGTTGAGAAACGGCTGGAAGCGCCTTTGTCTTCTCCCCTTTCTCACCCGCACCCTCGTTGCCTTCGGTTGGCGCAGAAAATTCCGCCTGTTGAAGATTCTTTTCAATCTCGAGTCCCAACTCAACAACCCGTTTCTGCAGGATGCCCTGTATGGAAGTCTTGTTAGGATCAACCCTTGCGACGAGGCTGTACAAGATTGACAGTTCTTCGGACTTGGCATTGTCAATCATCCATCGTAGTCCACTGCCTTCCATGTCCAGAAATTCAGCCAAATGTTTTATTATCAGTTGTTGATCAATCACAGAGGTGACCTTTGCTTCAGTTTCGGGTTCGATCGTAATCCCACATCGATCCCGTTCTTCTTCCAGCCGTTTCTTTGTATGCCTCAGCCATCGACAAGCATCCGCCACCTCCAGTAGCTCTTGGCATTCACGGCCGTAAAACTCTTGGCTGTTTTCGAGAAAGCGCGTTTCGAACAATGTCAAGTACAATTTTGTTAATTCGTTCTCGTCCTCGGCTTCGTACAGGCTACTGAGCATGCGGCTGCAGCTGCGGATGAGGTTTCGATCGATAATGTCGCCCTTGCGCTCCATATCGATGTGATCCAGCATTACTGCGATGACAATATCGACAACTAAGCTTTGCGAATCTTTGTTGAGGCGGGAGCGTAGGATGTTGTCTCGGAAGAGGGCGATTGTAGTCGAAAAGATGGAAACCCTATGCGACTCTTGTTGGGTATAGCCACGATCTAGATACATGAGGATATCGGCCGTCATGTTCATCGAAACGTTGTGATCCTCCCAAGTATCACGTAGTCCTTTGAGGAATTTCTCGCCGGTTTGGCGTCGTTCATTAACAGACGCGGCGCCCGCTTTATCGACACCCGCATTGATGAGGCTGTTGGTAAAGAGCACCTGGATCTTCGGAATAACGTTCGCGGTAAACCATTCCTCCTCAAACTCCTTTACACGCTCGTATAGAGCGTCACCCTTCTTCTTAAGGACAATTTTGTAAGCTGCTCGGTAGAGCTCTTCGAATGACAGCCTACCGCAGCTTTTGTTGTGTATGTCGCGTAGAGCTTCTTTAAGCATGTTCCAGCATGACTCAAAGTCAGCTCCTTCGCCAGATCCGTTGGGCTAAGTGAAAACGTCATTAGCACAGAAAATTCGCCAAATGAGGGCCTCGTAGCTTAGGGGCTGATGGGCTAAAGGTAGCCGAAGAAAGATGCCACATGGTAAATAGTTAGGCACGTACCCGGGCAATTCGACGAGGCGGACGGATGCGGCCTCTCGCACCAGCGCCCCCTCGCCCAGAGATCATTATGACTGCTTTTGCAGTTGTCGGGGCCGCCTTCCGTCGTGATTCTGTGCTGTGCCATTAAGCGGCGTCACAAGGAATGGTGGGGTTTGTGAAGTGCCAGGCACGAAAGGCAAAGTGTTGACGTTTTCGATTACAGCTTTGCAGAGTATGAGAGGCTGTGTGCTATTGTCACACTGACAGCCATGCGAAAGATAAGAATGGAATTCACAGCAAACGAAGCTTTCGCAGCAGCCGGCGGCGAATTGAATGGGTGGAATGGTTAATAAGTACCTAACTAATTTGTACAATGCCGCACTTAGCCTCCAGCAGTCGTCCATACCGCTGTGGGTCACCCCTCAGTGACTCCTGCGACGATAAGTTATCGATAAAGAAATAGATCGTACTCGTCCGATCACGTGTAGCCTGGGACGCCAGATCACGTGCAGCCAAGTCTGAGCTTTCCAGTGCTATTTTTCCGGCGAGCAATCAACGCCAACCGGCCTGCAGCTCCACCGATTCAAGACGGCCGACGAAGGATTGCGCGGGACCTGTGCTGAGAGCTCGAGTACTCGACTACTTTTCGATCGAAACCTTCACGATGAAGCTCGTCAGGTAAGTAACACCCTTTGTCGGTGTTCCCAGGCAACCAAATCTACACGCGACTAGCTGCAGCGGACGTCACCGCATCCTCGGGACCATGGCTAACTGTTCGTGACTAGATTTTTGATGAAGTGCGTTAACGAGCCGGTGACTATCGAGCTGAAGAATGGTACGTCTCGGTGCGGTGGAAATGGCGCAGTCGCTGTCGGCGCATTGCATCACGTTGACTACGACTAACAGCCTCAATTAGGCACCATCGTCAACGGTACCATTTCGTCAGTGACGCCCCAGATGAACACAGCCCTGCGCACCGTCAAGATGACGCCCAGGGGCCAAGAACCTATCTCCCTCGATACCATGAACATTCGCGGCTCAACCATCCGCTACTTCATCCTCCCGGACTCGCTCCCTCTTGACACACTATTAGTCGACGACGCACCCAAGCCCAAGAACAAGGCTCGCAAGGAGGCTGAACGTGCGAGCCGCGGACGCGGCGGTCCTAGAGGACGCGGTCGTGGTCGCGGTCGCGGCCGTGGTCGTCCTTGAACGGGCTTCGGCGCGCAGACTGGGGGGTTTCTTCGGTTTAGGATGAGAGGGAACAATGACGACGAAAGCAACGGAAACAGAAAAGGCGTTGATGGATTATAATGAAGGCGGCTGCCACCATGGCCCAGCGAGGCTCGCGGCTTGCGCGCCAGATGACCAAAGGAACTATCAAATCGAGCATGTGCAGAGGCAAAAGGGAGGGCCGCCTTTCATATGTTTCTCTTACGCAATCATGACCAAAAATCCATAGGGTTTCGATGGATCAGGCGTTTTGGGATGTTTGGCCATATCAAAATACACGCAAAAAAAGTGACCGCATTTGCTCTGCGGGTCTTGATTTGAACCTGTCGATTTGTACTCAATTTACGCGGGAAAAAACATACCGAAGCCATGTCAAATGTGATAGTTTGAACGAAATGTAGAACTTTCAAGTCATCAACTCGTAATATGTATGCCAGCTATGTACAAAGAAGTGTGAAATCGTCGTGATTTATCAAGCATCATTCCATATCCGCACAACTTGCAGCTTTTCCCAGCCGGCCGTCTTGCCGCTCGACCCTACTGTCTCGGCCTTCCAGCCCTCCCCAAGCTGCTCCGGTATCTTCCTCTTCACCAGGTCCGGCTTGTTCTGCGCACACAGCAAGACGTATGCGCAACCCCGCGCCGACAAGATCCTACCCAGGTCCGGCAACAGTCTGTCCGTGGTCTCCATGCCGTCGGCGCCACCCGCATACGACAAGGCCAGCAGGTACGAGTCGTCGTCAAACGAGGGCTCCGGCGCCGCCGCCGCCGGCACCTCGAGCGAAAACGTCTGGGGCCGGGCGGGCATGTCCGACGTGGGCACGTACGGCGGGTTGAATATGAGGACGTCCACGGTGCCCGGACGGAAGCACGATGTCAGATCCGCCATGCTGGCGCCGAGATTTGTCCCGCTTCGGCGGGCGGTGGACGTCTGCTCGTCGGCGGCGGCCTTGCGCACCGTGGCGACAGTGGCGCGGCACGCATAGGCGTTCATGTCGATGCCAGCGGTGAGGATCTCGGGCTTGCCAAAAATGGTCGCGCACTGGGCGTTGACGAACCCGAGGACGACGCCGGAGCCCGTGCCAATCTCGACAATGAGCGGCGCGGTGTGGGCGAAGCGCTGGGTGAGAAAGGCGCATTCCGCCGGGGAGGCGAGCGTGTCGAGGAGCAGAAAGGAGTCCTCCGCGGGTTCGTATACCCTTTCGTATGGAACATGCGAGGTATCTGGCGTGGGCAACATCCTGCCTGCGGTTGTGATGCTTTATGGGAAATTGTTGAAACGGTTGAGGTTGAAAATGGTGTAGATGAAGAGTGTTTCAAGTGGGTCATGGTTGGACAACGACTTACACGATGAGTTACAACGAAGCTCGAATAGCATACTAAGAACGAAGGCGAAAGATCTATTGGTTTAAATTGTCCGTGTCCCCTTGTTTCATTTCAGCAATAAAATTTGACACTGGCCATTTACCACCTCGAGCCGCCACTGTCGGTCCCCAAGCCAAGCCACGCCCGTAAAGGCAACCCAATTTCTACGCATATGCGAACAAGGCAATAAAACCACACGTTACAAAACGACGCAGCAATGTTTTGTGCTTCCCATTCGAACATCGACGCCCCAATATCCTTCGGGATCCGCCGCGTCCTTGCCCCAGGTAAAGCCCCATCCCATGTCAGTGACGAGGCGCGCCACGTTGGGGTTGTAGGCGCCGTGCAAATCGCACTGGGGGCAGAGGCGCGTCCTGGTCTTGTAGAATTTGGGCTTGGCTTTGAGGCGGCCGCCGCGGATGTTGCCGACGTGCTTGCCAGTGACGGGATTCACGACGACGCTGGCGCCGACGAAGCTCGGACAGTTGGTGAAGCCCAGGTAGGGCAGGCAGGGCTCTGTGACGACGGCCCAGATGTGGTTGCACTGGAGATGCTTGAAGTAGGTGACGATGCACATGATTTCTTTTGTTTGCTGAGGTTGCGGACTTTGTTTCTTGGGGATTTTATGGCCGGCTGGTTTTGCTGTTGAAGTGCAGCCGTGATGACGGCAAGAGCACGATTCCGAATAAGTGCTGGCTTCGGCGGTGTGCACTCGCTAGCAGTGAATAATGACGACGCGGACAGCACAATCATTTGGTGCGAATGAGATGCAAAAATTTGCATGATTCAATTTACCCTCCATGTGCCACTTTGACAGTTTCATCGCCCACCGTTTCGCACCGTTTGCAGCACTGGAGATGGAAAATACATTGAGTGGCAATGATGCTCGCTCCGTATGGTGCTCAAGGTGCTCAGTCTTGGCATTCATAATTTGTGAAATCAGTTTGCTTAAAATATATTGTGCATTATTATCGAATTGTTTCGTTATTATCTACTCCGTAGTTGAAATATGACGGACAGCCAGTCCCCTAAGGTACGTAGGTACCTACTAAGGTAGGTTACCTAGTTAGTAGGTAGGCAGCTCCAGTAGCGTCAAGCGCCGTGTCAGTGATCCGTAATGCCAGCGGGAATGGCGACGTGAGAGTTACCACACCATAATTGTTGAAAAAAGAATGAATAGGAAGCGACGCATCCCACACCGACACACATTCACCGTTTTTGATGGCTTGTTGCGCAAAATACGGTAAAGAATCATCCAGCAGCATCGGTCGCGTGCGTGCACGCTGCCATAATTACATGGATGACATGGCACCATGCCGACAGCGGATGCTTTGCACGCACCGCCGTTTGCTCACTCTTGGGCGTACGACAGCGGCGCAAAATGTCGCCGCAAAACGTTCGTGTGCCAATCGTAATACTCATACAAAAATAACGCAAAAAATATGCCATCAAGTGATTTGAGTGACGAGAACTGAGCGAGCAAGAAAAAGGTGCCTGTTTGCTGAGACAAAAACACAGTGGGTCAGCCACCGCGGGATGGCGTCCCGGTACCACCCAAAGTACGTCTGGACGTCTGTAGCTGCCTGCCACTCATTCGTCGTAGATACTCAGAAAAAGGACCATTGTGTCCTCTCCCAATTTTCTTCACTCAATCACTGGCCGGGACCCTCAATTATCTCCCCAAATCTATAAATTCCCCGGGATTCCAATCTTCTTTCCCCCAGACAACTCAACACCCGCCAGACAACTCCTCGCCCGTAGTGCCTCTCCCTCTGTACTCACAGCTTACACCATGGCTGCCTCTGCCGACACCGCACCGCCGGCTTCAGGCTACAAACAACCACCGAGCGATATTCTCGATGTGATGCGTGCGCCTGCTCTGCCTATCCCAGTCACAAGTCCTGCCGGCGATCGAATCATTCTTGTCTCGCTAGCAAAGTACCCTTCCATCTCGCACATCGCCACCCCGTACTTGCGTCTTGCTGGCGTGCGTGTAGAGACAGCCAATCACAATCGCCGCAACACAGCCGGCGGTCACGGTATTCGCACTTTTGCCGAGAAACTGGAGCTGGTCCAGGTCAAGGATGGCGAAACCATCACCGTCTCCCTTCCTGCCGACGCTCGCACCACATCTCCCATCTGGAGTGCCGATGGGTGCTACTTTGCCTTTGAGAACGTCACCGCCGACTCTGTGGAGCTCTGGATCGGCGACGGGCAAACTGGTGTCGCCCGCCAGGTTCCGGACGTGCGGTTGAACCCTTTGCTCGAGGGCGAGCTTAACTGGATGCCCGACCAGAAGCAGCTTCTCGTCAAGCTCGTCCCCGGTGGCCAGAAACCCCCGCCAGCCGAGCCCACGGTTATCTCGGGACCTATCATCCAGGAGACAGATGGCAAGAAAGGCCAGAGCAGCACCTACGAGGCCCGCGACACACTCAAGAACAAGCACGATGAGGCCTTGTTTGATCATTACATGGCTTCCCAGCTAGCCTTGGTAGACGTCGATTCACTCGCTGTTCGGCCCATCGGCCAGGTCGATATTTATCTCGCATCAGGAGCTTCACCAAACGGAAACTACATTCTCACTCATGCACTTCGCAAGCCGTATACATACAATGCTGGTTATTGGAGGTTTCCCTGCGATGCTATGGTTTGGGACGTTTCAGACCTCACAAGTATCAAGTCCAGAACTATTGCATCTTTGCCTCTGGCTGAACGTGTCCCGATTCGCGGAGTGCCCTGCGGTCCACGCAACTTCTCATGGCGCTCCAACGCTCCTGCTTCTTTAGTCTGGACGGAAGCACTCGATGGCGGTGACTGGGCAAATAATGTGCCACACCGTGACAAGGTCATGCTCTTGGAGGCGCCTTTTGATCAGGATCCCCGTGAGCTTCTGCGTACAGAGTACCGCTTTAGTAATATCGCTTGGGGACAAGACCCATCGTTTGCCATTCTCACAGAATATGACATTGATCTTCAGTGGGAGCGCCGCTATATTGTCAATGTCGATGACCCCCAACAACCACCCAAGCGCATCGTGGACATCTCTTACAACGAACGATACAACTACCCCGGCGGCAATGTGCTCCACAAGTTGCCCAACGGTTTCAGTATTATATACGAGGCCAACAATGCAATCTTCTTCAGAGCCGAAGGCTCTTCCAAAGACGGGGACCGGCCTTTCTTGGACCGTTTTGATCTCGCGACTATGAAGCCGAGTAGATTGTTCCGCAGCAGCGGATCAGCCTACGAATCTTTCCTTAAGTTCAGCGACGCTTCGGGATCAACATTTCTCACATTGCACGAGTCGCCCACGGATCCTCCAAACGTTTTCCAGCGTACACTGGGAGAGGAGATTGATGCTCCAGCCGGCGAGGCCGTTTACAGCACCGAGGCCCGGGCTGTTACAAGAATACCCAACCCAACCCCTCTTCTCTCGCAGATTAAGAAGCGCGTTGTAACGTATCAACGTGATGATGGAGTTCAATTGTCCTTTAACCTCCACACCCCACCAGGATATCAGGAAGGCACGCGTGTCCCGACCATTCTCTACGCCTACCCCCGAGACTTTGCCAACGGCTCTGAGGCGGGCCAGGTTACAGGCTCCGAGGCCCGTTTTACACGCCTTCGCAAACACCAATTTCTCTTGCTTTCCGGCTACGCCATTCTTGAGAACACAACGTTTCCGATTGTTGGCGACCCCAAGAAAGCCTACGACACCTACTTGGAGCAGCTTGTTGCCAACGCCAAGGCCGCCGTGGACAAGGCTGTCGAAATCGGCGTCACGGACCCGGATCGTGTTGGCGTCACTGGACACAGCCACGGTGCACTTATGACGGCAAACCTGTTGGCCCATTCAGACATTTTCAAAACTGGTGTTGCCACGAGCGGGGCCTACAACAAGACGCTGACACCCTTTGGGTTCCAGAATGAGCGCCGAAGCGTATGGGAGGCGCCTGAGCCTTACCGTAAAGCGTCGCCCTTCTTCTTCGCAGACAAACTTGAGCATCCGATCCTCATCATTCACGGAGCCGATGACGCCAACCCTGGCACAACCCCTATGCAGTCCTCCAACTTTTATTCAGCCGTGCGCGGAAATGGAGGCACAGCCAAGCTGGTTCTGCTGCCACACGAGCCGCATCATTACCAAGCCAAGGAATCGCACGAGCATGTTATTCATGAAATGCTGGCTTGGTTTGACAAGTACCTCAAGTACCCGGCGGAGACACAACCCGATTCAAAAATATAGAGTTCATTCAATGGCGTTGAGGGAGCTAGTATAGAAGTGGTGTAATTATTTAGATGGATGAGTGTAGGGGTTCTATAGAATGAAGATGCAATCTACTCTTGTGTCTTTGTTATCATGTGTGGGGGTTAGCATGAAGATGCAATCTACTCCAGTGCCTTTTTTATCATGGAAGCGTGGATGCCTTCCCATCCAGTTTCCGACATGGATTTCACTGTGCCCATGAGCAGTCGCGATGCTGTAATCACTTGCTCCTCTACCAACTCCACCTTGCCATCCTCTGCATCCTTGACAAGCCAGAGCGACTCCATCATAACATTCATGGGGCTACGAATCCGGACAAACACGCCGTTGTCAACATTGATGAACTCGTATGTGCTGACGACGTCTGAGTCCCAGAGGCCGGCGGGAAGCGTGTGTATCTTGTCAGTCACACGGTAGCAGTCGGGTTCGCCAGTCGCCGCGACCCCGCGCGTCTCGGGGATGGTGGGGGCTGGATCTGTGGGAGTGGCGATGGCTTCGTATTTGGCCATGTGAGGATTGTGCTTGATGTAGTTTTCATGATTTTGCAGCCCTTGCGCCAGCTTGGAAGCGGGGAGGCCCTTTGGGACCGTGGACACATGCCGCAGGGTGCTCGTCGTGTTGAACCAAGCTAATAAAGGAGCGGTCAGTACCGGAGTCGAGGCACAGGGCTGCCAATCAAGCGAGGTGGTTTCTCACAGGACATTTTCACAAAGTTTGAGGCGAGTCTTGGTCGCTGCAGAGCTCTGGACATGTAGGTGTAAAATGAGGAGGCAGTCCTGTTGCGAGATAAACACACCTAGTCAAGAGCGGATGCGCAACGTCCCGGCCGCTACAGTCGCTCAGACCAAGCTTCATGCTGAACTTCAACACGCACTAGCAGTCTAAGACACGTGCTATTTTAAGCGCTCATCGTAAACGTTTCATGTTGAGGAACTACAGGAGTGCTGTACACTTCAGAAAATGTGCATGGCGAGATCAATGAGGTTGGTGGCGGGTGTGTCGATGGCTCCCGTCCGCCCTATAATTCAAGTGACATCAGGCTGGCACCGTCCAGCAGCAAGTTAGTGACAAATTTCGAGAAATACGGCCTTTTAGTAAATAAGATCGGTAGATCTTCAAGAGCTACTAAGGTAGATCTAACAGTCACCCCCGCTAGGAACTAATTAATAGCACCTAAGGTATGTAGCTGGACATGTGACTTCGCGCCGCTGTAAATGGCCTCCAACGCGCTGGACCGTGTTTTTGCCACTCTCCACTACAACTACTGAACGGTCCTTCAAGAACGACGACCGCCAGCTTCTATCTGCGCCACCAACAACAACACCAGACCGAAAACCCATACCTACAATTTCGAACTTCAACAACTGCGGATGGTGTCCCTGCTTCTAGACACCGATTGGAGGCCACCACCCGCAATTATATCCCTGCCAATGCCCCTCCGTCGCCGATGAGCGTTCGCCGCGAAGATGGTGGCTCTGGCAAATCGCAATCGCTCGGCCACGCCTCGAAAGCCCAATTCCACGTTCCAAACGAGCAGGAAGCCTGCAAATCCAAACGGAAGCATTCTAAATTTCTTCCAAAAGACAGACAAGCCTGAAGAATCCTTGTTTGTGGGCACCATTACGGAACCCACCAAGGCCGCAGCGCCCACCACCGAGAAAGGTCCCGACCAAGACTTGTATAGCCACAATGACGAGGAGGTCGGCTCTGCGGAGACGGGGTCTCCGAACAAGAGGCGCAAAGTCGGCGAAAACGGGCATGTACCTCTTGTGACTGCTCCAGTTGAACCTGCACCGGCTTCAGCTGCGCAACTACCCAAGGTCAAGAAGATTATATCGCCATTCATCATGGAATCAGACGATGAAGACGACGAAGACGATGAACCAAATAATCGTTCTCCCACCAAAATACCCAATGCAAAGGCTAGTCTAGACAAGGAAAACGCCAACGAGCAACAAGCCTCAACCAAGATTGAGCCTGACGTCAACGAAGTTGCCGAGGCCGAGCCGACCAAGGAATGCGTAAAAGAACCGCCGAGCCTTCAACATGAGGCCACAAGTGGCAAGTTCGATACCGCCGATGAGTTTGCAGATATGGACGACATGGACATGGATGCCTTTGAGGGGGACGAAATGCGCGAGTGGCGCTTTATGAAGGAGCAGGCCTGTCTAGAGGCCGAAGAGTCAGGCGACATGACATTATTTCATGAAACGTTTGGAGAGGACCCGTTCCAGGAAGCTGGCGCGGCGGAGTCTTGTCCGATTTGCTCGGGAAGCCTAACCGGTGTATCCCAGGACGAGGCATCAAGACATGTCAATGCCTGCCTTGACGGCAATCCAACCCCGCTGCCTAAGCCTACTGGACGGCCAACGTCTCCCGCAAAAGCCGAAGAGGTGGCGGCCACAGAGGTTGGCAAGCGCTTCATGCGGGCCGCCATCCCCCGCCCTGGGCAGGCCAATCCCATTGACTTGGCGGAGCAGCAATCCGGGGCCAAGTCGGCCTTCTCTCAACTAATGTCTAGTAATGCTGAGGATACAGCTTGGTCGACCGCCGCTGCCGCCGAGAACGCATCACGGGGGAGGCCGGCGTACATGAGAACGTGTCCTTTTTACAAGATCATGCCCGGCTTTTCGATATGCGTCGATGCTTTCCGCTATGGTGCTGTCGAAGGCTGCAAAGCCTATTTCCTGAGTCATTTCCACAGCGACCATTACATTGGTCTGACTGCGAGATGGGTGCACGGCCCGATCTATTGCAGCAAGGTCACTGGGAGTTTGGTGAGGAACCAGCTGCGCACAGCAGCAAAGTGGGTTGTTGAGCTGGAATTCGACAAGGAGTATGACGTCCCTGGTACCGATGGTGCAAAGGTCACAATGATCCCGGCAAATCACTGTCCAGGAAGTTCGCTGTTCGTATTTGAAAAGACTGTGGGCGAGCGACACAATAAGAGCTTGAAGCGAATTCTTCACTGTGGCGACTTCAGAGCCTGTCCAGATCATGTTCAGCATCCTCTTCTGCGACCGGATACTGCAGACGCCATATCTGGCAAACTCAAGCGGCAAAAGATTGACATATGTTACCTTGACACAACATATCTCAATCCGCGATACTCCTTCCCTCCACAGAATGATGTCATACAAGCGTGCGCTGATTTGGTTGCCCAAATATATCCAGATCCCAACTGCAAGGACGACGTCTGGGATTCTGCCAAGAAGGAAGTTGGCAAGTCTGTCAGCAAGTATTTCCAGAACCCTCCCGCAACAGAGTCAGAGAAGCCTGAACCAAAGAAGAAGCTTGGCCAACGCGTGCTCATAATATGCGGCACGTACTCCATCGGCAAGGAGCGCATATGCGTTGCCATTGCCAAAGCTTTGCGTTCCAAGATTTTCGCATCGCCGTCAAAGATTAAAATCTGCAAGCAGCTGGGAGATCCAGAGCTGACCGCTCTCCTGACGTCGGACCCGATTGAGGCGCAGGTCCACATGCAGATGCTCATGGAGATCCGCGCTGAAACGCTGCAGGAATATCTCAACAGTTACAAACCCCATTTTAGCCGAATCGTGGGATTCCGTCCCTCGGGCTGGAATTTTCGCCCCGTTAACAGCAAGAGCGTGGGAGCCAACGCGGCCCCGTCGGCGATTGCTACCGAACAGCTTCTTCACAGCAAGGGCTGGCGGACGCGCTTCGGCGTGGCCGACTTTGTGCCCCAGCGAGGCAGCACGAAGGAGGCCATGTGCTTTGGCGTTCCGTATTCAGAGCACAGCAGCTTTCGAGAGCTGGCGCTGTTCCTGATGAGTCTGCGAATCGAAAAGGTCATTCCGACGGTGAATGTTGGTAGCGAGCAGTCGAGGAAGAGGATGAAGGCGTGGATCGATAGATGGCTGGCGGAAAGACGCAAGGGTGGTCTGGTTCAGCCACTGATAGAAGGCCACGATGATCCGGACAGGCTCAAAGTAGCGCTATGGGATGGAAAAGCCAGCAATGGGGGCGGTGCTTGGTGGTGAGGTGCGGTTGCGACTTGATGGGAGTTGTGAGCATCGTGGATCTTTGTTACATGGGCGAATCTTTTTGGCATAAAATTTTTGTATTCCAATGTGTATATAATACCTTTTCTTTAACGCCTAACGAACCCATCATAGCATAGCATACAAGCCTGTCATGAAATACGTGATCGGACGCTGTTTCGAATGGATGAACAGCTGCCATGCTCATTGAATATAGCCACAGTTTTTTTGTAAACGGGGCTCTAATTTCGCTGATTTCCTGCTTTTAACATTATTTGGCCTTGCCTTGCTGTGTGGAAGCCTCTGTTGACATGGTATGAGCGATGGGTTGCACACGACTGGGGAGCTTCACGGGGCCTTACCTCTGCGAGTCGCGTCTTCCAGCAATTGCGTGTCTACCGACGCTGCAGGGAGATGGACGTAGCGAACGACGGAACCTCGGATAAAGACATTCTTGACAGAGCTCTGCAAAAAGGCCAAGAATATCAGCAAAATGGTGGCCGGACAAGGTTGTAACACGGCGGCGCCGCGGGCACTGAGATGCCGGCCGCCGATGCGGGGGAGGCTGCTGACATACCATGTGAGGGTACTTGAGCTCCTCGATGACGGAGATGTCGTCGAGCTTGATGTTGAGATACTGGTCCACGCTCTTGAGCGTGCCGCGAAGCTGGATGTCGTTCTTGAGCTCCACCGTGACCTCCTGGTCGATGAGCGTCTTGAAGAAGCTGTGGCGTGCCAGCGCAAAAGAGTCAGCGGCGCTATTCCCTCAACATCCCGAGTTCTGCTTGTCCAGAGCGCGCTGCGAGATAAGGCCCCGAAAACTCACCTGAAGAAGAGCATGGTTGACGTGTGTGAGCTTGAGCTCTAGTGGGTAAAATTGGGCGCCTGGGGGAAGTGAGAGTCGGTTTGGAAGGTCGCGCGCCGTGGTGGAAAACGAAAAAAGAAAAAAATATGGTTAATCTGTACGGCGAGTTGGCTTTGCTGGGTTTGATGCTTTTGGTTTGAATGTAATTTCAGTCATGAGATATGCTGTTCAATGAAGGTCGCCTAAAGAAGCCCATTTCCAGTTGCGTCACGTGGAGCGCGACCCACTGACCACATTTTTCTACAGCGCTTGCCTATAGGCAAGGAACGACCTGCAGCCACTGTAAACCACAACTGTGAAAGCTGGCTCCTACAAAACGGGAAAATAGGCAAAACGAAATGAATCAGAAAATAAGAATGACGCAAAGGACATGAAGGAAGAAATCAAGGACCCATGACCTTGCCTATCGGGGTTTCCTTTGTACCGCCAAATCTACAGGCTCTCTCATGGAGGGCTACTCAGCGCTTCTTCGCCAATGGGTGCTGTGAGTGACAGCGCTTTTCCATTGTCGCCAAATGATCACTTGGTGTTTGTTTGCAGCGCCCCAGCTCAGTAAGGTGCTTGGTTCTCATGTGGACAATGAAGTCAGGGCCATGGACTGCGAAGCTGGTGACGGCAGAATACGCTCTGCATCACAGATCTGACTGATGCGGCTTCCTGGAGCGTGGTGATATGTATAAAAAAATTGCTTTATTTATCATCAGATATACGAATCCCGTTTCCAAACAAGAGTGATTTCTCCTCTACCAACGCCTTATTTCATGCTACATGTACAAACCCGCGCTTCTTGGCGCTCTTTTCCTGGTTTTCCTCTTCCCACGTGTCGTCTACGTAGTCCTTGATGCTGTTCTCGCGAATCTGCATACCCACCACCTTGAGGGCGGCGAGGTTGAACCCCATCTCGTCCTTTTGCTCCTTGAGCGTCGCGCGCAGGTTCGCGCGGATGCCATCAAGCATCGTCTTCATCGCGCGGCTCGCCACGATTTGCTTGTGATGCGTCTTGAGCATGAAGAAGAGGATGCGGCAGGTGAGCGGGATGTTCATGGACCGCGTGGCGAAGATGTTGAGGAACGTGAAGAGCATCGGCACCGAGGCAAACGGCAGCACCAGCAGGGCGTCGTGCAGGGCAGCGGCCTTGATCCTCTGCAGAACTGACAGGACGTAGGCTTCGGCCGTGATGTTGCCGAGCGCCATGAAGACAATGTGGCGCTGAGGGGCGGGCGCGTTGGGATTGCCTTCCTTCGCTTGTTCGTACTCCTTCAGCAGGTTCAGGTCAGCCAAACCCAAGTCGAGCGCCTCGGCTATTCGCTCTCCCGCCATCAAGGTATCCGTAGTTTGCTTGCTGGCGGCGCCAAACTCGCCGTTGGCGTCGGCGGCGTCTTCGTCCCGCTCGAGGGATGTCGTCAGAGTGCCTTCGTACAGCTCCTCAATCTCTCTCTCGCGCTCTTCCTCGAGGAAGATTTGTTCGTCCGTTTCATTCCAAACGCGGATGCTCTTGTCGTGGCCCGCGCTGACGAGGAAGTTGCCGGTGCGGCTGACAGCTATGGCCCAGACCTCGCCGTGGTGCCCGTCAAGGCGCTGGATTTGTTCAAACTTGTCACCGTCCCAGTAGCGAATCGTTCGATCCTTGCTGCTGCTGAAGAAGTGATGGCCGTTCTGGTCTGCATTGTGGGGCACAAAGGCAACTTGTAGAATACTGTCCTGGTGGCCAAACAAGGCCTTGTGGCAGTCGCCAAAGTCCAGACCCCAAACGCGGATGTTTTTGTCGGCCGAACTTGTGACGATCAGCTTGCTATCATATGATATATCCATGCTGAGCACAGGCAGCTTGTGACCATAAAGATTGAGGTATAGTTTGAGGGAGTCGACAAAGAAAACTTTTACAGTGTTGTCCAGAAGAGCCACCGCAACATGCTTTCCATCAGGCGAGAATTTGAGGCAGAGAATATCGTCCGAGACCTTGAGTGTTTTCGAGTGTACAAGCTTCAGCTTGGGGGTTGTCCTCTTGGTACCAAGAATCTCTTCTTGGACTATGCGGAAGTCCCAGAACTTGGCTGACTTGTCTGCACTGCCAGACACCACAGAGCGGCCATCTGGGTGCACGTTTAATGACCAGATGGCGCCTTCGTGGGCGTCAACGCTATCGATAAGAGCGGCCGAAGCAACGTCAAACAGCTGCAATTCGCCGCTTTTGGTTCCAACGACAACGACTTTGTCTCCAGGCAAGAATGCGCAGCTAAGAGCATATCCGCATTCAAAGGTTCGAATGCAAGCTTGTGTTTTGACGTTCCATATTTTCAGAGATCCGTTTGCCGCGCTTGCTAACATCTTATCATCGGAGCTCAGCGATAGAGCTCTAATATCGGCCCGGTGGCCGGGAAGATCGATGGAGAGGGCTCGCGTGTAATCCGGGATATCCTGTTTCGACTTCTTTTCGCTCTTCTCTTTTGAAGGAACGCTGAAGTACTCCAACTGATTGTTCGTGGTGCCAACTAGGAGGTGAAGATCTTTTTGCCCGCTTGGTAACGCCCAGGCAGCGGACCGCAGCTTTCCTCCTGTTCTTACCACAACGTATTGGACAAAGACGTCGGAGATGTCTGCCGATGCAACATCCACAGCCGTTTCATCTTCGTCCGCTTCTTCATCTTGCTTGGAGTCCTTTTGCTTCTCGCGACGCCTGCGTCGCTTGCGTGCCAGCCCCTTCTTAACTTCAGCTTCGTTTCTCATACGCCATATCTCGACGGCTTTGTCTGAGCCGTGAACGGCGAAGTAGTCCTTCTTGGGATGGAATTCAACTTCCAAAGCGCGATCTTTGTTCTGGCGGTGCAGCGTGCCACGGTTAGTGATAAACTTGGTAGCAGCCACATCAACACTACCAGCACTCGCAGCTAGGCCTTCAACGTCAAGAGACCAAACCTTCATCTCCCCATCATTTCCAGCTGTGACGCAGCCTTCAGCGCTTGGCGAGACTCCAAGTGCCCAGCATTCGCCGCTGGTTTGCGAAATATGGGTTTCGATACAGTGTCGCGAGGAGAGGTCCCAGAGTTTGAGCAGCGAGTCTTTGCCAGTCGTCAATATATAACCGTCTGAGCTGTTTTCCCCGTCCAACACCATCGCGCGAGACCCATCTTCATTTTGAACCTCGGCATTTGGCTCAATAAAACGTAGGCCGGTAATCTGATCTTTGTGCCCTCTCAGCTTAAATTGGCCGACTTCAGCCACGAGATCCCATATGATAACGTCGGTGTCTTTCGATCCGCTTGCAAGTCGGATTCCAGATTTGTCAAAGTCGAGTTTGGTGATTGCCGATCTATGTCCGTTAAAACTCACAATGACGGTCGAGATTTTGCTGTCCCAAAGGCGAATGCTACCGTCCTCGTAACCGACGGCAAAAACGTCCTTGTCAGTCTGGCTTTGCGCAATGCACGTCACTGGAACAGTGCATCGGTCATCGCGCCAACAGCTCAGCAGTTCGCCCTTCTTAATATCCCAGCAAAGGACTTCTTCGTTCGCGGCGACAACAGCTTGTCCAGCACCAGCGCCGTTTCGGTCGTTTGCAATCCAGACAATGTTCGAGCTGCTCGATGCGACCACACCAAAGGTTTTGGCATGCTCGTACTTCCTGCGAATGTGTTCAGTAAGAATCAGAATTGACGAAAACGCGTAGATATCACATACAGGTACGATTTCACCATTTTGAGTAATGTCTGACCACAATTGGTCCTTGCCAGAGATCATCACTAAAAAGTTCAAGCCGGGCTGCGACCGTCTAAGTGGGATTTTTTTTAATGCTTATCGATTAGTTTCTGAGCCACTTGCGCCTGCATCACGTGGCTTAATAATGTGGCTGGTGGTTGACGTTGAGTCCCCCTCCTGCCCCACCAGGAGACGTCAACAGCTACCTACCAAGCTCTCTCCAGGCGTCCAACTTCGGCATCACAGTAGGTAAATCTTACAATGCTTCTTCTCGATTATCAAAACGTTCTTATCCAATCGGTCTTGACCGAACGGTTCTCTGGGTATGAATGCGTTTTCTACTCCAAAGCGCTTCTCTCTAACCATTATGCAGTGCCCCGCCGGCCTCCATTGACCAGACCGTATCCGACTTCGACGGCGTTACATTCCACATTTCAACTCTTCCCGAGACGAAAACCAAGATTCTTCTTTCGCTTCAAATAAGATGTTTCGCGGATCTCGTTCAGTACGGTGCCGAGCAGGTATTGCAGAGAGAATACGGGGACTACATCTGCCCAGTTGAGAATGGCTATGACTTTTCCGTCCTCATTGACTTGGAGAACCTGCCAGAGGGACAAGGTCAGTGAAATTGGCTTGATACATTACTTCTACTCTGTTGGGAGCATTCTGCTTACAATTGCTTCAGAGGAACGCGATGCGCTGGCTCTCAAGTTTGCGCTACTAAAGCGAAATGCCATGGCTGCGCCGCTCGAGCAGGCCTACGAAGAACACTACAAGCTTAAGGAAGAGGCCGCAAAGTTTACATCGGAGGAGGCGCCTCAGGATATCCGCAATGGCGGCCAAGTCAAGGCTATTCACTACCGTGAAGAGGAGGCAATTTATGTCAAGGCTGCACACGACCACGTCACTGTCATCTTCAGCACTGTCTTCCGTGAGGAGACGGATAGAGTATTTGGCAAGGTTTTTATTCAAGAGTTTGTGGATGCGCGAAGACGTGCAATTCAGAATGCACCGCAAGTGCTGTTCCGCACCGACCCGCCGCTGGAACTACAGGGAGTACCGGGTGTCAAGAGCACTGGTACTGGCGAGATTGGCTACGTTACCTTTGGTGGGTTTGTTCTTCTCTGTGTGAGGATCAATGTTGCTGACATGCATAGTTCTTTTCCCCATGCATCTCACGCCCCAGCGAATGGAGCAGGTTATTTCGCACATTCAGACCTTCCGGGACTATTTCCACTATCACATCAAGGCATCCAAGGCGTACATTCACTCGCGTATGCGCAAGAGGACCGCCGATTTTCTCCAGGGTGAGTATCTTCCAGTGGTATTCATTTTGCTTGTAGCAGTACTAACCGCGAGCAGTTCTTCGCCGCGCACGACCCGAGAACGAGGAGCGCGAGCGCAAGACGGCGACCGGGAGATCTTTCAAGGCACAGGGCTAAGTACATAGTCAAATGGGAGCTTTGGGTTTGCAATATTGCTGATGCTTCAGCATATTGCCCAGTATTGTGGACAACATTGGTCGGACCTTTTCGCAAGCATATCAACCCGCACTTAAAAATTGCACAATGCGTGTTGCTCTTCTGTCGAGGCTCCTCGCATCGCTTCCGCTCGCCGATTATTCTGCCCATTGAGTCCGTACCCACAGGTTTTTGTTGAAGAGTGGTGGAGATCGGGCCAAGTGAAACCCTTGATCATCGACAGCATAAGGGTTAAGCAGCGCGTACGAATTCTGAAAGCACAGCTCGTACCCTCCTAAGAAGAGTCAAAGAAGACGGCCTCTCAAGTATGCAAACAGGCAAGCAACGGTTCAAGCTATTCACGGCGCAGCTAAGCGTACAAAATGTTAATCGCAATACGGGTCGAAAAACATTCATCCACCATGCGATTTTGGCCATGGGATTGGCCTTAATTGGGGGTGTGTTGAAGGGTCTAGTTGGGATAACATTCTTAGTGGGCCAGGATATGGCCTGTTTGTATGCTTGAGGGGCTGATTTCTTTAACTCTTCCTAAGCTGTGCTTTCGAGATTCGTATGCGCTGCTTAACGCTTATAACGTCGGTGATCAAGGGTTTCACTTGGTTCCACGCCAGTTGATCTCCACCATCCTTCAACGATTTTATGATATATAGCGGAAAATATAGCACCAGCACACTTGTGTGGGTGCCCACCACTTTTGCTGGCGTACATGTCTATAACATGTGTGATAGATTTCCTCCTCTCACTAGCTCCGGCGAGGACCAGCCCGTTTTTGCCGTAGAGAACGCGACCTACCCGGAAGCCGATGGTGAATTTTCATTGTAGAATACATAGAAGAACTGATGGTTGGAGTCACTTGTTTTGTATATCTAGTGTGATTTATTCGTATCTTCGACCTTGTTCTTGTTTATTATTTTGGGTCGCTTCCAACTCTCAGCCTGAGCCACGCTGTGTTGATGGTTTTCTGCGTGACATCCTACAAGTGGGTAACCCCAGTCGATCAACAGCTTTCGGGTCAACCGACCGGATTTTCCCCAGTAGCAACCACACCCTGCAAAAGAGAATCCGACCTCCGGGTCGCGATAGAAAATGGTATGGCCGTTCGGATCACCGCCACCAGATCGCGACAAGTCTGAGCCCAACGACAAGCGACGGCCAATTGCATGGGACAAGTCTCTTGGGGAGGTCGCAGGCCCGTTTGAGGCGGCCAAACAATGGGCGCCCATGGTGGTTTCTTCGCTGGTTGGCCTCGCCGCGCTGCAGCTCTACGCAAACTACCTGCGGCGAATACCCGGGGCGGCATTCATCAAGCCGTCGGCGTTTCGCAAGAAGACACTGTTTGGCCGTGTGACGAGCGTCGGGGATGGTGACGGCTTTCACCTGTTCCACACGCCCGGCGGCCGGGGCGTAGGCTGGGGCTGGCTGCGAAAGGTGCCCGAAAAAAGACGAGAGCTCAAGGATCGCACCGTAAGTCGACACAGAGAGCATAACAATGCGTTTCTTCGTGGCTGACAACGTCTCGACGCCCACACAGATATCAATTCGACTCGCTGGCGTCGACGCGCCCGAGGGAGCCCACTTCGGACGACCAGCACAGCCGTACGCGGACGAGGCGCTGAAATGGCTGACAAACTATATCCTGCACCGAAATGTGCGGGCGCATATTTACAAGCGAGACCAGTACAACCGCGTCGTCGCGACCGTTTACGTCTGGCGGTTCCTGAGGCACCGCAACGTGGGGCTGGAGCTGGTAAAGCGAGGGTTGGCGACAACGTACGAAGCGAAATCGGGTGCTGAGTTCGGCGGTCTGAAGGATGTTTATGAAAAGGCGGAAGCAAACGCCAAGAGGAAGAGGCTGGGCATGTGGTCTGGCAAGGCCAGCGAGTTTGAGAGCCCGCGCGCGTACAAGAGTCGATCTGCTGGCCAGGATAGCCAGTAATGTCGCACGGGAGAGGAGTATCCAAGGATTCAAGATGCATCCTTGGCTAGCTGGTGCAAGAGGCTGAATAATGCAAACCGCATACCCAGAGAGCTAGACGGGGCGAGGCTCGGAGCCTCCCACTCCTCATGCTCACACGTATCTATATTTGTAACCATAGAGTACCATACATGCATAGTAATCAGCCCAATCAAGCCTGCTTCTATGAAACCAATCGAATCGACTCTACTCGGGCAATGACGGTGTGGCTTTCATGATCTTTGCTTGGCTATTGTAAGTGTCGGCGTGACTGGCAATGAAGCTCGACGACTAGGCGCACATGCGTCTTGACTCAACCTTGGCGAGGAGAACGTAAATGTTTTATTCGGCAAACATGTTCCGAATGGGATATTATTTTGGTCAAAATTTTATAAGGTAGATCTTCATCGGCAAACGACATCAGACCCTGCATGGCCCGGACAAAAAAGCCTTGCGCCTCTCTGAGATACACTCCAAGGTCATGGCACCAGTGTTGTGGTAAGGTCTGGGCAGGCATCCAAAGCCGCTCCAAATCGATTGACTATTGACAGCTAATCATACACGTGGCGGCGGGTGTCGGCTGTCGCCATTTCCGCGAACGGTAGGGATACACATTGGCACAAGGCGGTAAATTATTATAATCTGGGTGTTGCGAACGCCTTGCGGCCCCACAAAATCCGGCTCGTTGGTAGCTGTCTGCGAGGATCGCCTTATGGTCGACGAGCATTGTTTCGGAGTCAAGGGATGAGTTACATCGGTGGCCTTGGTGTTGCATGAAAAAAATGAACAGATATGTAATACCTAGTTTCATCTTCATCCTGTCATTCGTCTGGAGAGAGCGGGTGCCCGATTGTTCTGACTCTTTCTAATCAGACTCGATCTGCTCTTCCGTAATAAACCAACTGAAAGAATATAGGGACTGATTTTCTGCCACTTATTAATACACCATCTTTTGCCCTCTTGCTTGCTCAGCCATTGTTGTTCTTATTTTGGAGCCAGTTGAGAGCTGGAATTAGATTGGTGCAGGGCAGTATCACCCGGCGGGACCCGCTCTGCCACTCCCGCCCAACCACTTAGATGGCAATATTCAGCTCGGCAGATGGGCCCGCTAGAAATCTCGAAACCGCCCAGTCGATTGCTCGGGCCTCAGTGGTTCTTTTAGTGCTTTTAGTGGCTCGCCGCAAAATTCCAGACGTGGCCAGCATCTACGCCTCGCCCGGTTCGGCCTAGTGCTATTGTCCTCCCGTCAGGCACAAAACAAGCTGCAGCAGCGTAAAAAGGGATCCTCGTATTTCGTGGCAGCATGAACAAGGGAGACACGGATGCACAGGCAATTTCCCACATTCTTGGCGGTGTTGGGCTCTGTTTGGGCCTTTTCTTGACTTCGTCTGCACCTGGCACAATCTGCCACTTGGACCATCAGAACCACTGCCCTAACTAGCTGCCTTTGCCTGGGCTGTTTGCTGTGCTAGTCGTCTACTCGGTCTCCCACGTTTTAGTTCGCCCAGCCCGCTTGGCCCAGAAGGCAATTGTGGTGGCACCGCCATCACAACCACCCGCCTCGCCGCCAGCCATTTCCATTTTCATTCAACCAAAACTCTATCCGCACAAACAGGCTATCCAGCCAACTTCCAGCCCTTCGGCATCTCGACATTTGTCGCCATCACACTCTTTTACATTCGTTATACCACGGCTGCTTTTTTTTGCGCCGTTCAACTGCAGTCATCGCGCACCCACGCTCCTAATTTTCGTCCATTTTCCGCCGCACCTAATTTCCTTTCCGACGACCTCCTGATGCATCGATAGACGGCAAACAACTCGCATCCTCCCTCTCGACACGCCTCGTGCAATACGAAACTATCTCTTTATTAGATCACCTGACTCAAATCCGATTATTTCTCAGTCTCAGACACACATCAATAAGCCTTTGCCATGCGGCTGTCGTATGGCCACGGGCGCTCCCCGCGCCTTGGCCAACGACGTGGCACCGTTTTCACACTCTTCACAGCTCTCTCGCCCGTGATGGCAAACGCAGCCAATCTCGTACCAGCCCCCCTAGCCAATCTCGACTTTTCCGACCTTGGCCAGATTGGCATTGCTGGTGATTTTGGTGGCATTTCTCTCTACCAATATGTTGGGCAGGGCGGCCAGACTCGCAGTGCCAATGGAAGCGAAGCCCTCCTCTCCGAGTTGCCAAACGGTGCTCTAGTGCCTGCTGTCCAAACGGATGCTGCAATCCGTGCCATGTGTCTCTACAATGCTACCGAAAGCAAAACAAAGGGCCTTATCATTGGTGGTAATTTTACATCTCTCGGCGGGAACCAGTCTAAGGCTATCGGCGTTTACGATATCGACGCCGGCAAGGTCATGGCCCTCAATGGTCTCGAGGGCGAGGTCAATGCCATTCTCTGCGACGATGCCACTGACACCGTCTATATTGGCGGTAACTTCAAGAGCGGTAACTCGACAAACGCCGTCGCCTGGAACGCTAAGGACGGGTTCAAGAATTTGCCGTTTGTCGGTTTCAATGGTCCCGTCAAAGCCATCACCAAAATGGAGAACGGCCACATTCTTTTCGGCGGAAGTTTTACGGGTCTTGGAAATTACAACACTACGGTTGACAGTTGGCGCGACTCACAGACTATTAACCTGGCAACTGCCAAAATTAACGCCCAGGGAAGCTCTTCTAGAGCCGGCTTCAGCGACCCTGCCAACGTGGCTTGTTCCAGTGGCTCCGACGCCCAAGGCAGCACCTGGCTTCTTGAGGACGACACTCCCGGATACTGGGAGGCTCAGTTTGGCTTCGGTTTCGAGCCCACCAAGATCCGCATCTGGAACACGCATGTTGCCAACTATGGAACCAAGACCTTCAATATCCAGACTTTTCCGAATGACCTGATTAACATTATGAACATGAGCTACGTCGACCCTAACACTGGCCAAAACGCGACCTGCGACCGTCTTTGCCCTCTCAGCAACGACCCCAAGGTCCAGTTCCAGGACTTCCAATTTGTCAATCTTGTTGGTATGGACAAAATTCGCATCGATATTTTGGACTGGTGGGGCAACGCAGCTGGTCTTGCAGGCGTCCAGATTTTTGAAAACAATGTCTTCTCCTACGCTATCAACGAATTTAATGAACCCAAGTGTCGCGCTAAGTCTGGCTCTGTCTCTTCGGCATCTGCTACTGGACCCTGGGAAAGGTCGCCATCTCACCAAAGCAACGCTGAATACCTCCAGGCTAAGATCGCTGTCGATGGCGGCCATCTAGGCTCAAACGCATCTGTCACATTCTACCCTAATGTTCCGAAGTCCGGAAACTACTCCATCAATCTCTATACCCCTGGCTGCATCGCTGACGGCACATGTACCAACCGCGGCCGAGTCTATGTTTCTGGCTCCATGTCTAGTACTACAACCCAGCCCGATTTCGAGACGCAGCTGTTCCAGACAAACAACTTTGATAAATACGACCAAATCTACTTCGGCTTTGTGGAAAAAACGTCCGACAAATTCCAACCCAGTGTGACTTTAAGCCCTACCGTCGATCAAACCGTTCAAGACCTCGTCGTTGTCGCCCAACAGGTTGGCTTCACTCTCATCAACTCCGTCGGCGGCCTCAACGGGCTATTTGACTTTGATCCCAAGGGTCCTGTTCCCGATGAGAGCACTCTCGACAGCTCTTCCATCAACAAGCTTGGCTACAGTTTCGACAAAGAGTCTGGTGTCAAAGCTCTTACCGCCTCATCCGACACCATTTACATTGCTGGCAACTTCAGTTCTCAAAACCACAAGAACATTGTGGCCATCTCTGGCGAGGGTGGTGAAGCCAAGAATCTGGATGGCGGCTTGAATGGTGGAGTTATGAGCATGCACGCTGAAAACAATAAGCTTTACGTCGGCGGATCTTTTTCCAACACGCTTGCCAACGATACCAAGGGCCTCAGCAATGTCGCAGTCTACGATCCTGATAGTGACACCTGGACTCCCCTTGGCGCTGGCCTCGATGGTTCTGTCAACTATGTCGTTCCCCTTCGCATTAATACGACTGAAGGCAAACCGGAAACAGTTATCGCGTTCACCGGTGCGTTCAACTATTCAAATGGCTACGGCAACGTCCAATCATCCCGGGTGGATGGCTTTGCCATCTGGGTGCCTTCGCAGAATATTTGGCTGCACAATTCGGAACAAAATGTCCCAAGCTATAGAGGCACACTAACTGCTTCGTACCTGGACCTTGACGGCAGCAATTCCGTTCTCGCTGGATCCCTTGACGTCTCTACACTCGCGGTCGATGGTGTTGCCAGTCTTACATCCAATGGCCTCGGGAAATTCCCCGCAAAGATAGATTCTAAAACACCTTCACCCAGCAAGCGACGACGAAGCATTCTGCAAGGCGGCGATGTGGCTGGTGTCGCCACCGGAGCTTTCTATGAGAACGACAAGGAAAGCCTTACTATTTTGGCCGGCCACTTTACTGCACGAGGGCAGAGCAACGGTTCAGCCATCCACAATCTGGTCTTTATCGACGCCAAGAAAGGCAACCAAACGAGTGGCCTCTTAGATGGTATCGATGACAGTTCGTCGTTCTTAGCGACGGATATTTGGAAGAATATTTTGTTTGCTGGTGGTCTGGTTTCTGGGACCGTCAATGGAATGGAAGCAAATGGCATCATTGGATGGGATCTCGATGCTAAGAAGTTCTCCCACCAACCCGCTGGTCTCACAGGCGGTGACGGAGTTGTCACTTCCATTGCCATTCGGCCTAGTGGTGGCAATCAAGTATTTGTTGGCGGCTCATTCGACAAGGCGGGTGCTCTGGACTGCCCTGGTCTTTGCATTTTCAACATTGATGATGACCAGTGGACCAGGCCGGGCACCGTTGTGACCGGCCGGGTTACTGGATTGCAATGGGTCAGCACTGATTCTATCCTCGTCGCTGGCGACTTGGCCGCTAGCTCGAGCGGCTCTAAGCCTCTGGCGTATTACAACCCAGTGAAGCAGACGTGGACTGACTTTCCTCGCATCGACGAAATTCCTGGTCCTGTTGAGGTCCTCACGCCAGCAAGCATGGACCTCACGCAGTTCTGGATTGGTGGGAAATCACTCAAAGACAACTCGACCTTCTTGATGAAGTGGGACGGAAGCACATGGCGCTCTGTTGAGCAAAAGCTCCCCAACAGCACTGTTTTACGCAGTATTCAAGTATTCCGCCTTACCGAACAACATGATCGCGCTGCTCTGCTCGAATCTGACCAAGCTCTCATGATCACTGGTTCCATCGACCTGCCTCAGACTGGCTCCGTATCGGCTTGCCTGTTTAATGGCTCGCATTACCAACCCTATGCGCTGACGACAAGCAACAACCAAGGCACAAGCAGCATTGGCAAAATCTTTTCGCAGAGACCTAACAAGATTGGTCATAGCAGACATATGCCGCTAGTCTTTGTCGTTCTCATCGGGTTGGCCATTTCGCTGGCCCTTATCTTGCTCATGGTTGTCGGTGGCGTCGTTCTTGACCGTCTCCGAAAGAAGCGCGAGGGCTACGTCCCTGCGCCGACCTCAATGCGTGACCGTGGAAGCGGCATCCAGCGGGTTCCACCGAGAGAACTGCTCGAGTCGCTAGGTAGAGTTCGTCCTGGTGGCTCGCCTGCGGTATAACTTTAAGTGGCTGTCCCACTATCATTTGGCGTTTGGATATATCAGGGATTGATTTTTATTCGGCATTTCTGTTTCGAAATTTGACGTTTGCGTAAGCGAGCAACGGCAAGTACACTGCGGCTTCGGCAATTGGCTTCTACATCATGAGGTTACGACTTGAAGGGTTTCTATACCGACTTCCCTACACCACTTTTATCACAATCTTTTCTGCTTTCTTTTCCAAGAGTTTGCAATCTCTTTCTTCTTCTCTATCGTTCATCATATTGTCCCTTTTTTCTTTCTTACCAAATGCCTGCACATCGCAGAGCAAGCGTCCTGTATATTCTCACTCTTCACGGTAGCCTCCGCCACAAAGGCTATCAATCAATTTGATTTGTCGGTATTGGCACAGCTAGCCAATTCGACTCGATTTCTGAGGGTGTGGTAATGGATAATGGCTTCTATTTCTAGCGAGGGATGTTAAGAGCGGAGAGGAATGAATGGTAAAATATCATCAAGACCAACAAAATTTGTTTGTATTTCCGTCGCAGAGCGTTGCGAAAATGGACAGTTTGCTCGACAGCTCGCTCATACCAGGAGGTTTGATAGCATAATCTGAATGAAGACACTTGACTAAATAATGTACTGCTATGCTGATAACATCGAGCAAGTGACGCCTTTCAAATATCCAGACTTTGGCGGCCGCGGGTAGTGCCAACCGCTAGGCTCACTGCCCTTGATATATAATGTCATGGACAGATGTGTATAGATAGGCAAAACGATAGCCTATCTGGACGGAGTCATCGGCCCTTTCCCGATCATTTGGAGATATTGCCACATGGGAGCACGAAAGAGCTCTACACAGCGCTCTGGACCTTCCAAAATCACTCGCCACGCCAGCCCAGCCGTCGGGAAGGTGCGCCGGAATCAACGGGGCTTTCTTGTCTGCTTGCCGTAACTCTATGCTCGCCGGGAGGATGAGGGGTGCTGTTTGAGTGGTGTCGACTGACGCAGAATCGAACGACGATTTGGATCATAGTAACTAGACGACGGAAGGTAGTGGTCCTGTTGGTGCGCATGATGGTCGGACGACGGCCAGCGTTCTCTCCCGCTTGCACTATCTACGTGTGACGCGAAAGGTCGCGCCAATCCGGCGATGCTACCGTTCTGGGAGTAGACGAAACCGGGACATGACAGATGGTCTTGAATTCGTGTAGGGATGGCCTCTTTCGCAGGGCACGCTCGCCAACTCAACTTGACACATTGGGATTGAGAAGGGGACAATCCTTATTGTACATACCCTCCGAGCTTATCAAAGATCCTTGCTATATAGCTCTGAGGCTATTTTTAACAAGAAGGAACTTGATCCTCTAGTCAATTTTCCGGATAAACGTAAGCTGGGGCTAGCAGCGTTTCGAGTTATTTAAAGCAACTGTGAGCAGATGCGCCTTGGATATCATACACGTCTTGTGTTGAACCCGTTAAGGTAAGTATAATCACAAGTACACGGTATAACTCGTTCTGCACACACTCCCTCTGCTCCTCGCTGACCTGGAAGCCTGTGTTCTTCTCTTTCGTCTGCATCTCTATTTGCTGACAGAGCACATGCCCTCCCCCGGGTTCATGACAATGGTTGGAAAAAGGGGAAAGGCCAAGAGGAAAAGTGCATCGAAGAGAAAAACAAGCCTTTTAGATCAAACGCGGAGGCTGCAACTTGAAGCGAAAATGCGGGGGGCGGACAAGGATTCGAACGTATTGCATGAAATATAGATGTAATCCTTCATGGATGTTGATTTGAGAAAAAAAACAACCTTTACTAATTTGTACAGCAACCTTCTTTGATGACGTTGATCTGCCTGGACAAGGGTTTTTTCAACATGGAAGGGGCGAGACTAGTGTTCACATTTTTTTAGACAACGGAAACGGGAATCATTAATTTGTACCCCGTAACTACTTGATTGTGACTGGTTTCTTTTACACACCCTCAGGTTTTACGTTTACAAACGAAGGGGACTGATTGTGATAGATGGGATCCCTGATTCTTTGCAAGGGGGGCGCGATCCATGTGGCCGAGAAAATGGAATCTTACTTCTCAAATTACGAGAGGTTTGAGCGACAGCCGAGAGCTGCTGCGCCTCGATTTAAAGGAACGAGCCGGATTTGCGAAGAAACGAGCGTCAATGAAAGATTATGAACACGCAATCAGAGACAAAATATGCACACAACGCAGCCATCCACCATGTCTTACAAGGGGGTCAAGAATGAAATTCGGTGAACGCAAACAAGGTTGATTTTGCTCTGTCAAGAGAGCTGACCATTCAGTATTTTTGCAAGACGAGCTCAAGGAGCAAAATAATTCGTCGCTACGTACTCTTTATTTTATTTTTTTTGCTGGCTTGTCTCGATGGGGGTGTCGCAGAGAAAGTGCTGCTGGCGCGCCAGCAGCGCCAGCAGCGGCCCAAGGACACAGACACACCGGGTCCCAGAATTCGGGTTCAATCGATCCAATCAGCACAGCAAAGAATGACGTCGGGCGCTGCGTGGTTTTTTTAATGCCTGCGCTGGAGGGGAACTACTCGAGTACAAGGTAGTGTCATGTATTTTGGTAGCAGAGATAGGTACTGATGGGGCAGCCTCCACATATTTTGGGGGGACGGCTGGCTCTCCACATTCGCTTCCCCATAAAATGAATTTAGAGCCCCCGCTTTATCCTTTACACACACACCCTGCCTCTTTTGGTTTAGCCTGAGGGTAGCCAGGATCACAACCTTGACCCCACCTATTTGCAGGTACCTCATGTAACTACTTTGTAGAAAGGCACCTTTTTCATCCTGGTACCGATCTATTCCGCACATGATGATAGATTTAATTGTATTTACGACCGATACCAATTTACCAAGAAAAGACAGACCTGTGTAATCATGGCGTGACCTTGAAAGCACAGTTTACACGGAACGCCAAGGACCAAGAACGCTAAATGGGATGGCGCTGTGACGTCACACCTTGATTGCTCCTTTGCTTCGACGGCTACTTCCTTCCAAGTTTGGACTTGATAGTGTTGACATTTCAAAGTAACATGTGCCGATACTAGTTATCAATTCTACGTTCTTGTGAATCCTTTGCGAATCAACCACCCACACACTGCGCCAGGGAGTGGAGCGGAGGGCGGCGAGCTTGCTGCACAACTCGGCGCGAAGTTGCGCTGACCTTTATTTCCTGCAAGAACAGGGCATGGGGTTCTTTTTTATTTTTATTTTATTATTATAAATTCTGTTGTTTCAATGACATTCTTACTCCCTCCAAACACGGAGGGCGGCCGGGAACGTACAGTGCATGATGACACCCAACTACCAGAGGGCGTGCCGCACAGGGTGATAGAGAAGGAGAGCGACGGAGCCATGGGAGGAGGGGGCAAGGAGCTGTAGGTTCGACTGCCTTGTATCCAAGAAACGCGGGCAGGAAAATGTAGGGACCGTGGCGGCGGGTCATGTCGAAAGCCTGCCTGTCCTGCTGACAACCGTGTAGTTATTCACAAGCAAGGGCAAAGGAAACGACCCTTGGAGGCGTACGAAGCACGGGTAGGGTTTGCATGAAGGAAACATAGATAAGCTTTTCGGCTTGGCGTAGCAAGACGCAGCAAAGGCACCAATAGTCCCATCGCCCAGAATGCAAGAAAGAGATGCAATCCCATCGGAAATCGTCAGTTGTGGCGTTTCCCGCCCGTTGCTGGCAAAAAAAAAAAAACGGCCTGGACTGCCAGCCCGCCGCACAGGCTACGTCAGTATGCGACCCATGGCTTCTTTTTTTTTTCAGGGTTCAAATTTCAGGTTGGGCGCTGTTCGACATCCCATCTCGTCCGTACGGTCTGGAATCAGTAACTAGTGAACAGACTAGACTGCAGGAAGTGCAAGATACACACACAGAGACACATATAAGCCTACTGGTGAAACTATAAACAAAACAAAAAGCCAAGACGGAAGCGCCCGTAGTGATATGCAAGATGGTGGCTAGAAAGGGGAATGAATGAAAGGGGACCATCTTGAAGAGACAAAGTGATGCTGGGCAAAACGTGCAAATCTAGTCTATTTTCTGGCATCGATGTACCCGGTACGTGGTTTTAATCATCGTCCCTTCCATCCGAGCCAGCACTTGAGCAAGCCTTCTTCCACTGCTCCTCCTGTGTATGACACTACAAGGGAATGGTTACAAGCTCGCCACAGAAACACCCAGCCTTGCTTCCGCTTCAGACCCCTCAACTCTCTTTCTCGTGCTCTACAGGTAGACCTCGTTTACTCGTTTTATTGACCCCGTCTTCTCCATGGGCCCCGGTGTGTCTCCGGTATTCTTTCATGAACAGTATCCATACAGATTAATCTGTACATCTTGTAACTATGTACGGAGTACTGTTTGCTTTTTCCGTCGTAGCGCCTCGCATGATAGAAAAGCTTGTTTTTTTTTTTCGCAAGACCCCATGCAAGCGCTACTGTGCCACTAAATGAAGTGGTGCAGGGGGTGTGGTTGCAGGATACATGACGCTCGATGCTACACATGTCTGAGAGAGGGCGCTGGGTAATGGTTTCTGGTGGGTACATATGGCGAAACCAGGCTACGGGGCAATGTACACAGTGCTTGGTTTTTCAGGGCCACACCACAGGCGGCCCGGTCATACCATCGTCAACTGGGCTCAACTCTTGTTAAGCCCGGCGCAAGCGAAGAGGCGGGTGAACTAGGTGAGAGCGCCTTGCGACGGCCCTGCTTCTCCACAAACGCTTACACGAGCTCCGAGGCAGGCAAAAGGCAAGAGGGATTGAGACTGGCAACTGGTTGGCTGATGGCTGGGTCACTGGTCAAAGACTTGTCATGTATCAACTTGTCGTGGTCCTCTTCAAGAATGTCGGTCCCAGAATAATGCCATCGAAAGCTCTCCCCTCCTCCACCCTTCTCGCCACTGCTTCTCGACGCGACGGGCAACGGTAGAAGATTCTGATAACAGCTGGAGCCAATCTAACTGTGCCGAGGCATCCAAAGAAACAACGAAAAAGGATCGCAGACGTGGTACCGATAGACTGGGTCTTGCAACACTTGTTTCGAGGCCAAGCTTTTTTGCGAGATTGACGAATCTCTCCGGAGTAGGTTTTTCCCCGAGTCGAAATTTGGCTTCATGCCAAGCTTTTCTTGTTCGACGGATTGAGTTCTCCCAGAATACGGGTAGAAGCCGTGCCCGTTAAACCTTGCATTCCTGGGACGGCAATCCAACTGTTGATCCGCGAGACAGTGTCATTTGCGCGGGAACCAATGGTCATAGTTGACACGCTGTTCTCAACGGTCACAGGGTGGTCAAGGGTCGTAGCGGCTCCGACATGGATATCGCCATCGCACATACGAGTGGAAGTGACTGCTGATAGTTGGACGAAAAAGCAGCACCGAAGCAAACAGTGGTCATGTATGTATCAGTCTGCATGGGGGGTGGTCCGTGTGCTGAATCATCTCCGTGAGGCAACTTCGGACGTGGTCCGTCTTGTCGCTCGCACTGGCGTCTTTTCCGCTGCTAGGGCACGGCTGAGGCGCAGCCTGGGAGGGGGGGTAATGTTGGATGAATGTGTGCAGTGGTTGTAGAAAGAGCCGTTGAAGTAAATGAAGGATCAAGGTCAAAGGTACTCTATTACTTGCAAAGCTTACGTACTCTTCAGTTCAGTACGTACCAGTACAACAGCAACTATGACTGCCAACAACTTCGTTCCTTGTAGTTGGTACGATTAGTTAGCTAGCTAGGTAGCAACTACAGAGTACAAAGTACGAATACAAACACGTAGTTGTATGGATACCCCGAATCCAGCGTCTTCGTCTCAGCCAAGATGCACGGCCCAAATGATAGTTATTAGCCTGCGAGAATAAACAGGAAAAAAAAAAGAAAAAAGAAAAAAGAAAAAAGAAGACATCTGAGGATCCCCCACAAAAAGCTTGTTCTAGCTCTTGGCAACACAAATCTTGCCCATCCAGGCAGTGATGGCCAGCGCTGAAACGACCCAGCCCATTCCTGCTCGAGTCAGGATCTGCTGGTGCTTGTTATTTCTGTCCTCCTGTTTATCCGTCGCTTCGTACTTTTTGCACCGAGCACATGAATGTCACTGTTTTGGGCTGACATTGCCCAGGGTACATGCGCTGCTCCCCCTTTCTGAGTTTATCTCGATGCCGGGGGCCACTCACCCACCCACCCCCCTGGTCAAACCCCCCATGTTACGCCTCCGCCCGAAATCTATGGAGTGTACTCTGTAATACTCCAAGTCTGGTATGCACAGGCATGGGCAGGATCATGGAAAGGGTGCAAATCGCAGCTCCTTTCCAACACGGAGTGACGGATAGAGGAGCTCGGTCTTGTCCTTCTCCACGGCCTGTTTCTATTTTTTGATAGTGCCGCGTACTCTTGACATGAAGTTGCTGCTTTCATCGTCTCCTCGCGTGTCCGACGACTGAATGCTGCGCGATGGGTGGTGGGCTGCTGTCCCGCCACGAGATGACCGGACATGGCGTTTCTCTCGGTGGCTTGTTCATGGTCGCTTTATTTCCCTGTGAACCCATCGTTACTGTAACTGGTATGGCAGTCTTCTCTAGGCTCGGTTCCGCGCCGCCCACCTTCCGCCCCTCTGATGATGATCCTCTCCTTGTTCGTCGTTCGTTGTTCGTTATATATACTCAAAGAGGGATGCCGTAGACTCGCGTCAACGAGTTTGTTCCGTCCGGCTGGAACAAGGTCTTGCGGTGACTGACCCCTGTGTTGCGTGGGACAATGGAAATGAATCTGCCAATACTTGTCTCAGTGACTCGCAGTGGCCCAGTAGTGATGGCGTAAGTTCATAACCATGACATTGCAAATTCACTTGGTCACTGCGCAAAGTAGCAAATTTTGGTTAAGATATATACTTGATTCGGGTCAGTCGTGGGTATTTGACCGTTGATATAAGCAGACACGCGCGTCTGCCACAATATTTCCGTTAATGTACAGTGAGCTCGTCATATCCATGAGCGGCTCCCAAGTGCAAATATACAAAGCCGTCCCTACCGCCCGCCGTCGTGACGTATCGCTGCCCTTTGGGTACCAGCGCCGTCACGCCCAAAGCGAAAACAGAACAATGAAGCCAAAACAAGAGGGCACAAGAGCATGCCTCGCGCAATTCCCAGTAACCAAGTAAACGCCGTCGGACAGATCTATAACCGGCCAGCACCAGCTCATGACCCCGTACCTGTCATTATTGTCCAAGCAAAAAAGTGAGAAAAATAAGCACCTCCATGGAATGGAGCCAGAGGACTTGCAAAGCATCGGGCCTCGACCGGTAGCCCAGAGTTGCCGCCCTTCGACTCAGCAGTCCATTCTATACGTATCATTTGTCGTAATGCGCATCTCTTCGTTTGACACAAGAATCGCCAAAACCACCATCCATGGTACCAGCGGAAAAAGCATCCGGTGTCTAGTCGGAGTGATGGTCTTCGGAGCCGGCTTCTGAGCGGGCATCGCCACGGTGAACCTTGCGGTGGCGTCGGAGGTTGGAAACAACAGAAAAGTGTCTGCCACATCCTTCCACGTCACAAGCAAAAGCTAATGCAACTGTTAGCTAGCGTATACAGAATTCCATGACCATGCCTGTGGCCAACTTACGCTTTTCTCCCGTGTGGCTGTACATGTGCGTTTGCAGCGAGCTTGGGCGGGTAAAGCGCTTGTCGCAAACCTTGCACTTGTGCTTCTTCTGCGTGCTCGACGAGACCTTGGAGCTGAACTGGCCCATCATCGATTGCGGTGCAGGCGGCATCGGAGCGCCCAGGAGGCCTTGCGGGCGGGGCAGCGTCCTCGATTCAATGTCTGATCCAGCAGTTGAGTAATCGGACACCGAGTCGCCATAGTAGGAGCTAATGTTACCAGTAGATGATATCGACGAGCTCGTAGAGTGCGTCGACGGAAACCCGTAGGAATCAACAGAAGAGCGGTCGTTGCGACCGCCGTATATGTTTCTCGGCGTGTCCTGGCTCATGGCCAGCATGCCGTGGCTGGCGTCGAGAGCGTCAGCAAACGCGCGTCGGTCCTCGGTAGGAGGCATCGGACTGTGATGCGAGTTAGTGGCCTGTCTCGCGGCAGAAACGACCAACCAAGACGGAGAGTCGTGATGCTTTGCGCGAGGTACTGACGCTTGCGAGAATCTGCGAGCAGCCTCTTCGTGGCTCATGGGGAAAGGGTGTGGGCGAGCTGGAGCTGGTGTGTAGCCCATGGCCTCGTATGGCCCGGATGCTGGCGGTGCAAAGTGACCATTGACAGGCGACGCCGACGTGGCGTAGCTGGCTTCACCAAACGACGCCGCCGAGGTTTGCATGCGGTTCATAAGAATATCTTGGTTGGGGTTCAACAGGTCGTGGTGCATGCTGAGACTGGCTGACGACGGGTTGTGGCTGCTGGCAGAAGATCCCAAGGGCATCGAGGTGTACGACGTCATGGACGAGGCGCTTCCGGTGCTGGCACGGCCGGGAATGGACTTGCCAGGCAGCAGGACGGGAGGCATGCTGGGCTGTCCATGAACGTTGAACAGAGTACTGCCTGGGCCAGCGGCGGCGGGAACAGACTGCGGCGACGAGGAAGATGACCAAGGGTTGGAGAACGCAGGCGGCTGGGCGTGGGCTTGGTAGTCAAAGCTGAGCCCGGGGCCAAACCGCTGCTGTTGTGAGGGGTCCAAAGCCATGGTCATTATGGAAGTCTGAGTGGTAAGAGTGTTGCTGTTGGGGACAAGTAGAGATCGAGTGGCCCCAGTATCGTGGGTGACAAGACGTTGTATACCAGAGGGCGGGCCGTGGACAAAGCCGTTGAATGTTGAATGGCGTGTAAATGCTAGCGTTGAGGAATTGTGTCGAATCCAGTCAATGATTTCAAGACGGAGGAGGGACTTTGGAGGCTAAAAGATGCAGGGAATGAGGTATCGAGTTCTTGGCTATCTGTATACCGGCGCAGTGAGGATGGAGACAAGGTGAAGAGTGTTGAGCGGCAGTGGCAAGAGGTGGTAGGATGAAAAGTGCAATGCGGCTGATCCGATGCAGGATCCCGACTAGAAAACGCCAAGTCGGTAGTCAGATTCGAGACGAGAGGATCCCGCTTGTAAATGGAGCGGCGTGTCGTTGAACGGGTTGGGGAAAGGAAAAAGCCAAGTTGTGGGATCAGCGAAGTCTTAAGTGTCTGTCGGGCAATGAGCGAGAGAGAATTGACGGTGTCAGTGACCTTGTGAGAGGCAGGCGTCCGGCGGGGATGTCAGTGGAGATGATGGCGCACCCTCGTCTGCAGAGGAAGGAGAAGCGGACGGGGGAGGACGGCGTGGGTGTGCTTGTTTAGAGGTTGGGTGTGTGACGAGTTGCGTGGATAGAAGGGATCGGCAGGCCGATGTCCCATTTGCCAGGAGAGCTGCAAGTGTACTCAGTACAGGGGGAGGAGGGGGAAGGGGTGCACAGTGGCCCTCTTCGATTGCACAGTACAGGGACAAGAAGAGGTAGCAAAGCAAGAGGTTGATTTGTAGGTATTGGAAGGGTATTGGTATTGGTGAGGAGAGGAGATGCGTCAAAGTTGACGGACGAGACAGCAACGGACACAATGGCGAGAGATGTCTGGCCAGTAAAACGGTTCAGACAACAGAGTGAAGCAAGAGTAATAATAGCAAGGCAGTGAGTGGTTCTTGTGATGGAGATGGGAAGAGAGAGAGCTGCTGTGTGTTGGGCAGAAGATGGGAAGATGGGAAGAGGAGCTAGTTAGTACTGGTGAATACCAGCAAGCACGGGATACTTGTTAGCAGCACAGAGTACAGCCCAGCAGACCAGTTGGAGAAAGGGAAAAAGGCAAGGCAGTGGCGTCCAAGTGGAGCAGGATCCGTGACGCTGGGAGGGCAAAGGAGAAATAAGAGTGATTTGCGCGAGACGGACGTTGCCAAGCACCAGATTTAAGGTAGCGAGATTTGAATAAGTGGTCACGGAAAAGGAGGGGCGGGCAAGATAGCAGGACAACCACAACTGCCGAGGCTGCTGTGTACCGAGTAGTTGTCGAGAGAGGATATATGGAGGATGCTGCAGGCCAGTTACACCGCAGACAAGTCCAATGTGCGTTGCGTTGCGTTGCGTTGCGTTGCAGAGTTGTCGGAAAGACGGAAGAAGGTGCAAGATTGTAGAGGGCCAGGAGGCGTTGAAGAGGGTTGTGAGGACTGCCAGGACGTTGGGAAGCGGAGGAGGCTTATACCCATCGAGGTCATCAAATCCAACGGCCAGCATGTCCTTCAGAGCACCAGCCAGCCTCGGTACTTGCAGGAGGGCAGAGTCAAGCACAGGTTCAGGCAGCTGGGGGAGGGAGAGAGACAGAGAGACACAGGGGAGGGTGGATGATGGCGTACGAGTACCAGTACGAATATGTGGACGAGGTTATGTGGAGGGATGTGGAGAGGCATGATGGAGTTGAGTCCACTCGGTAGAAAAACAAGCACCAGCCAGCCGATGGACGGGTGGATAGTACTGAGTAGGCTGAGGGACTAGCCTGGGAGGGGGGAGGGGGGTGAAGAGAGCATACGTGAATAATCTAGCAAGAAAAAAAATGAAAAACGAATGACAAGAATGAAAGAACATGGTGGGGTAAGGTACATACAAGGAGCAAGGTGTGGTGGCTGTGGTCTTCAGTGGACATGTTGGCAACCCATCATGGCACCTAGTGCGGCTCCAAGGTATTCGGCCTTGACTGCTAGTTACAGTACCAGTTACCAGTGCGAATAATAAAGAGCAGAACAGAGAAACAGGGACAAGGTACGAGATACGGCGACCCCTGTCTGTCATCTGCCCCCCCCCCAGCCCAACTCTTGATTCACGAGAATAGGTGACTGGCACCACATTGTCGAACCATGGCACGTACTGTGCTGGCTCTCTCATCAAGTCGGCAAAAAGGCTATTCAAGAGGCGCTGCGGCGGACAACTAGCACAGGAACTGGTGGGCCGGGACAATGAACTTGTACAACCTGTATCCGTAGGTAGTTAGGTAGGTAGCTCAGCTCAGTTTTAGCGGACCATTTGGAGCACTCGTGAAGCTAGTTATTGAGTTCTTGTGCCTTTCCAGCTCCAGCTCCAACTCCAGACGACACGCAATGCATTGCCTCAGGTGGCGATGCGCTCTCCCAGGCTCTTTCTCCCTATACCAGTCTATCAGTAGCCTCACCGCACCTCTAGTGCACCTCGGCACCTGGCTGTACCGGATCCGTAAGCCGTCAACTAACTAGCCATCCTTCGCTGACTGAAACTATATACATCATGGCGGTACCTTATCGAACATGACCTGAATCAAGGCAAACTAGTCAAGCACGGCTCAAGGTTCTCAGCTCCCGTTTTTGTTTCTTCTTTTCCTTAATACATCCTGTTGGACCGGCCGCCCCCATTTACTATACCATTGCTCAGCTTAACAATGCGTCCTACCAACTGTGGATAGCGCTACACGCTTGCGCAGACAAGCAGACAAGTCATTCATGGAATAATAATTCGTACTAATAATACGCAAGCTACCTTGTGAATAAAATCCAAGCGAATACTGGTAGTACTGCTACTAGTGGAACCTAGCGTTCTCAATCCGAAAAAGCCAAGAGATTGTTAGCTCGCCGACAGCCAGCCAGCATGCAGGGTTCTCCTCCGTCCGGGGGACTGGCTCATAACTTGGACGCTTGACGTGCGTGACACGATGCACCCGCAGTCACTGCCGTGTTTGCGATGATGCTCATGGCAGATTTGTTTCGAGTAGATATAATTAGAATGGCATGAACGCGACGTGTTAGAGCATTGCGTGGACAACTCCGACTTGTGTGGCACAGCGTACGAGTTTCACATGCTTCTATTCCGTTACCAGCAATTTGATAATACATATCGGGAAGCATCGCTTTGCCAGATACCAAAATAGACATCAGCACGAAATAGTAATGCTTCTGCCATCAGAAACACGGTCAACGTCCGACATACTCGGGAGCCTTGTCGGGAGCAACTGACTAAATTAGCTCTATTTGCCCAAAGGACGGTACTTGACATTGCCATGCTGACAAGCATCCCTTCGTTGCCTCGTGTCATATTTTTTCGCATTCATCATTTCTTCAAACCTAGGTCTTGCTTACTAGGGGCACAGCGTTGTACGAAGTACAGATTAGTAGGCCTGAAGAGAATAGAAAGGGCCAGGGGTCAGGACCCCATATCGGAGCCGGTTCTTGTCCAACCAGCAGGCCTGCCAGTGGCTTTAGTTTATGGTTTATGGTGGTGGGCGCGCCTCGAAGCAGGCTCTCCGAGCGCCGGAAGGGGTGTCTGCGCAGCAAGGGGGCCTGATAGAAGAGCCGACCGGGGGATGGGGGGCTTTTGCCCAGCGCCAGCGGGCCACTTGACCGGTCTGGAGTTGCTGTCTCGCCGAAGTGAAACTGGAGAGCCCATCGTCATGAGAGCCGGTCTATAGCCAGCTTGTTTTATCGGACGCCTCCGCAGTCTCCGCCGCCGCCGCCTCCGCAACGATGGAAGCCATTTCACGAGCCAAAAATAGAAAAGGAAAAAAAGAATCAAGAGAAAAAAATCGAGAGAAAATGCGCAAGATCACGGCCTTCTCGGCCCGTCACACGTTGTGTAGTTGGCCGCCGTGCCGGAACCGGCCCCCATGAACCTGGTGGGCAGCGGCGGCGTTCAACGCCTTTACCGAGTACGGGCCGGATGTGCGCAGCCACGGCAAACCATGAACCGGAGGACATGGCTCATGACCATGACCATGACCATGGCTTTGGCCTTCCTTGCCAACAGCAGCGCATATTCACCCGGTGACAGATACCAAGTGAAAGAATACTGGTAGTTCTGCCCTTGACGAATTGCGTGCTTCCCATCTGACACTCTGTCCTAAAAATTACTTGCATTCGAATCAGAGTGGCGGAGCTGCTCTCCATAGCCGTCGCAAGATAAAAAAAGAGTACTACCCCACGATCTGACGCATATATAAACCGTCCGTCGCAATCATGGGCCTGGGGAAGCACAGGGTTTGGAACCAGGAATGGCCCTGCAGGAACCGGAGAGAGTGGTTTCTTGTCAGGTAATAGCTGATGCCTTGTGAATGCGAATTTAAACTTCAGAAACAAGGCAGACCAGCAACCTGCAGCGATGCTGGGGTATTAAAAAAAAAGAGAGTTCAAAAAATCAAGGCACACGAGGCCATTCCTGGGGGAGTGCAATGGGGTTTGGCATGAAGATGGAGGGGAGGGGAGGGGGGCCATTTTTCCCAACTTTTCTTGTTATAGTTACACTTGTTCTTCCTTCTACCAATACTGATGCTAATAAATCCAAGGACATGGGCAGAAGACGAGTGTGGAGGGGAATCAAGCCCAGACAAATGCGTTGACCGAGCAGTCGTCTCTGCAGCATCCCACCCCGTGGGCCGTGGCGTTCAGAGGGCGATTCGATCCAGCCAACCAAGGATGAGCCGTGACAAAGGACGGCAGAATGTGATTTGGGCAGCGACGAGACACACGGGCAAGCATGACATCAAGGGCCTTTCCTCAGGGCTGGCTGGAGATGGGGAAGGGGGGGGAAGCGGCCTGCGTGGCGACCTTGGACCAGCACTAGCGTCGGGGTGCTAGCCAGGGTCGCGAATGATGTATCAAAAGAGGCAAAACCGGGCTTGGTTTGTTGCGAACTAACAAACGAGACAGAAAACGTG